TTCCCTTAATGACTTTATTTTATGAACAATTAAGACTAGTAAAATTTTAATGTGATTTAATGAAAATTGAAAATCAATTTTATCGATGAAAGTTTTAATTTATTTTCCTTGTACGAGAACTATTGAGAAGGTGAAGGCGAAAAAACTTATGAAACGATTTGGAAGGTCTTTAGGCTAAATTGAAGCATTTTAATGTGCGATTGGGGAGAAAAAAACAGTCGATAATGAAATATATTTAATGAAAGTTTGGGGAAAATAAATTGAGGAAGCAGCGGTGGAATAGGAAGTCTCTGAAGGCCAAGAATTTCGATTATCTTTTCCTACAACAAGGAATATAACTAATCTGATTATATTCAGAAAATAAAAAAAAAACTTTTTAAAAAACACGCTTTTATCAAAAAGACTAAAAATCAAAAAGTTCAAAATAAAATAAGGTCACACTTTTAGCGAATCAGGATTTTAAAAATTTTCTTGTGACAACTAGAAATGTAACATAAATTTTTTTCAAAATATTGTGATTAAGTCCAAGAACACAATGACTCTATAAGCGTGGGGAGTAATTTAAGGATGCATTTCTTAGTTCAACTAAGTTCTTAAGTAAGAGAAGCGTCAAATCTCAAAGCCCCACGCTTTTCGAGTCATTGTGTTCTTGGACTTAATCACAATATTTTGAAAAAAATTTATATTACATTTCTAGTTGTCACAAGAAAATTTTTAAAATCCTGATTCGCTAAAAGTGTGACCTTATTTTATTTTGAACTTTTTGATTTTTAGTCTTTTTGATAAAAGCGTGTTTTTTAAAAAGTTTTTTTTAACATTTTTTTATTTGCTCCTTTTTTGGTCGCTTCGTTTTTATTCTCAACAACAGACTTAACTTCAAGAAAAAAATGTTATTTGTTTTTTAGTCTTCGGGAAAAAAGCGTGTTTTTTAAAAAGTTTTTTTAACGTTTTTTATTTGCTACTTTTTAGTCTCAATCTTTTAATCGAATTTCGACCACAACAATTCAAATTCAACTCCACTTCGTTTCGTTCAACTTTTAATATATTCCCATTTTTTAATGGGTAATTAGTAACGACTGTCAGGATTTTTCATTCGTTTTTATAATTTAAGTCATACCTGGAAACACATAAAACTCTTCCAAAAAATGTCCTGAACTTCAATTATGTGCGTTTTCTGTGTTTTTTAAAACATTCATGAGTAAAGAACATTAAAAATCAATCGTAAAGATTTTGTGTTTATCCGTACCATTCCTATTACATAACGTGTGGATTCTTAACATAAAGATGCAAATCACATCTATATGTAACGTATTTATAACGGATTTTTCAAATTTAAATTCAATGAATGTCATTCATATGTTATGCAAAATTACGTTAAGCCGATAATAAATGGAAGTCAATTTAATTAAATTGGTGAAGTGCTATAAATATTGTAATACATTTAAAACAGCATACGTTTATGCTCAAATTATGTGTGCTAAATGCACATCACATATTGATAGTTATTTTGCATTAATTCGTAACGGACTTGTGATTAACGGTTTTTTTTGAAAATTCAAATTTTCACTTACGGATATTTATGAAAAAATTACTTGTCAATTTTTTCATCCTCCCAGAAAATCTTCTGCTTCTCCAATTATTAGTATTATTAATAATTAGTAATATTAATTAAACTATAGTGAATCATATAAATGACTTTTGGGCATTTCAAGTATAATATTTTAAACAAATAAAAATTTTATATCATTGACATTGGATTTTTTTCCCATATAAAAAAGTTTTATTAAAATTGAACTATAATTAAGTATTTGTGTGGTTCTAAAGTGTTAAAATATTGTATTGTCACCGGGAATACGTGTGTATACAAAATTTGAGCTCGATTGGAGCAATAGAAGTGGTCGAAAAATCGATTGCAAGATTTGAACGTGACATACAAAGAAACCAACAGAGCAACTCAATAAAAAGCGTGTAATAAAAAGCTCGAAAATATATCCTTTTTGAGACTATTGAAATAGAAAAGTATTTAAAAGAAGCGACCAACTGTCGATTTTGTTAATTAATTCAAGGAGTGACATTCGTTAATTTTGAGAGTCGTTTATAAATTACGTCTAGTAGTTGGATGCAGAGCTTGGACGTCATTTATGTTTTACTTAAATTCTACAATTTATGAAATTTTTATTAACAGGCTTCGATTCAAGGGTGTGGTACTGATGAAGTGATCAAAAATGATCAAAAAATTCATCAAAATTGATCAAAATTGATCAAAATGTAATTCTTCAGTTCCACACTCTTGCTTCGATTACTGTTTAGGAGTGGATAATTTGTGGCACTTAATACTATTTGACTCTTAAAAGGATATCGTCAATAAGCAATAATTATTTACATTTCCGAATACTATCTTAACAATTGCTAATCGTGTCCTGTAATTTATTATACTTTCCACAAACTTATAATAAATTCAACCTAAATGCGGAAAATAAATCTTCTCCAAATTTTACGGGTACGATTCTATATTGCGTTACTTTTTGGATTAATAAGTATTTACATTTAAGTTATCCAATTAAGTCTTTTATTGCTTTGAAAAGGTTTCAATTAGAAATTTTTTTATTTTGAAAAGCTGTAAATAAAATGCTTAAATGCGAGAAAACTTGATAAAAGAGTGTTAAAACGGATAATTTACAATTTTTTTCATCAAATTCGACCTAAAGTAATTAAAAAAGAAATTAAAAATTGGTAGAAGCCCTCTGGTCAATCTTCTATTGTTTACATCAAAGAGTTTTCTGATGCAAGAGTTGCTGAAGAACTTTAAAATATGCATAAATTTCAATTATTAAGGAAAATTTTAATTTTAAAAGTTAAATTCAAATTTTAATTTTAATCTTAAAAGTTAAATTCAAATTTTAATTTTAATTTTAAAAGTTAAATTCAAATTTAAATTTTCCGCTAAGAATTTCACCAATTAATAACCTATCAGCCATTCAAAAAGCTCCTGCCCAACAGCAAATTAATCCAAAAAATAATTAATTATAAAAGCTTTTATGAAAAATTGAAGAAAAAAAATAGCGAATGTCACTCTCTATTAATAAAGGATTATTCCTGTTCTGAGAATGAGTAAATCCTAATAGGATTATGAATGTTGACGAAATCGATCATGAAAATTATTAAAGCTCATAGACCAATTTTTCATAATATAATTTATATGTCTACCTTTTTCAACTACTATATTTACATTAAAATAGATAGAAATCTCTATATGAATTTTTCCTTGAACAAGGATCCATTGGATACACATCAAATGTGTATTTATGGAAATTCCTTAAATAAATAATAAGTTATGAATAAATATATATATTTAATAAGTGAATAATCTTATGACAAAACCAAATAAAATAAAAAAATTTAAAATTATATGAAAATAATGATGAAAACCTTGAATTATAAAGCTATACATGATGATGACAAAGAATATCTAAAATTGTAATTTTTAATACCATGAGAGATGAAAATGAGAAGAAGTAAAAAGAAAGTCATAATTTATTTATTGTATAATTGTAATGTCTATGGACACAGAAGTTCCGTAACACATGTTTCCTTTGTCCATTTCAATCAGCTGACTCGATTGTCGGATAACAAAGTTTGCAAGTGTTACAACATGCTTGATGTCCAATAGTTTATTTATTTCCGTTTATACATTTTTAATACCTTTTTTGCAAATTTTTCAGGTAAACTTTTATCCTCTCCCTTACTCTATTAAAAGTTTATATAATTGGGGTCGTTCATAAATGACACTAATTCAAAAGTTGAGTTTTTTAATAAATAAAAGCAACGTTTCAGATTCCCATATAAAATATTGCCAGCTACCACCCCCCCCCCCCCCCCACCCCTCCTATACCGCATTACATAAAAAAGAGGATGAGACCTCAAAATCCCATTTTTCGATACACGTAACTTTTGAATGAGCCCCTCCTCTAATCCACCTTCTACTTCCTCAATATTCATCGAAAGGTTTTGTTGTCTCTTCTTTGTATATTTATTGGGTTCATTTTGTATCATCAATCAGTTGAAATATGAACGTGACTTTCAGAAAAAGATGGAAATACAGTGCCGATAATAAAGTCATTGATCTAAATTTTGAAGCAATCCTCAGGAAAATCAGAATATTATGTATTCTTCTTTGGTATGGCTTCATACGTCTTCATATACAGGGAAAAAATTCTTCAAGGGGAAATGAAATTTTGCAGATTTTAATATTATCAAATATATCTTTTTTCAGAATATTATGAGGGACTGACGTTGATGATACTCAATAGAAAAATATTTGTTCTATTCTAAACTTACTCGAGTGTATTTACGGCTATTTCTTTGAGATCTGGGTCTTTGATGATTTTCTAGTATTTGATACCATAGGAACTTATTGACGAGAAGCTTTGAAGCGATTGATGAAAGATTTAAAGCCTTGAATGTCTAGAACGCGACTTTTCGTCTAGTCTCAATAAATTTTTATGAGTTATTTGAGTATTTTTTATTGAGCTATTAATGTAATTCAATTTATTTTAATAGTTTAATAAGTTTATGGGAAAAGCTGGAATTATGAGTGCTTTAATTTAATTTTAAGGATTTAAAACCAGACTAGCAGTTTTTAAATAATTTGAATGGCTCTGATAGAAAATTTGTAAGGTTTTCTTTTTTAAAAGCATTTGAAAGGTTTCAAGAATGATTTTTGTTGAATTTGTACGGGTTTGGTAAAAAATTGTATGGTTTTCTAGCTGTTGTAAACATTTGTAGGGTTTAAAAGTTTATATTGGAATAGTAAGGTTTTTGGATGATTAACTCAAATTTGAAAGATTTTTAAAGATTACATTATCTCCCAGTTGACCTCCTTTCTCACGTCAGCAGAAGCAATCAAATACCATCCATAAGCACTAAAAATACACCTTCATCAACCATTAAATAATGTCAATATGACAACATCTCATTCTATCATTTTTCTAACTCATAATGTTGTACTTTATTTATGATGAGATTTAATGAAATCATATAAATTTCAGGCAAAAAAATTAATTTTATTTTAAAGATATTAAGTCTTAATTCCATAATTATGATACAGCCTTCTTTTTCCTATTTTTGCTACACCTGAAGAAGATAAAGAAGAAAAAGATGTAATTATGAGATGAAACGTTGTTGCTTTTACGATGATTAATACTTACATTGGACAATACCATTTGCCTTTTGGCGATGTAGTAATTCCCACACATGGATAATGAAACCACTCTAGTGGACACTGAAAGCAAATATTAAAGATTAAAAAATAAGTCTTAGTTTTTCGAATTTTAGAAAAATCAGTCATGCTCGAAAGGATAAAAAGATGTGGACAATATGATAACTAGGTCAAATGTTTAAAGAGTTCCTTTTTTTCTCCTGATTAATGCGACTACTGAGCGTAAAATTAAAGATAAAGATAACGAAACGAACTGGAAAAAAATCTTTAAAAAATAATTGAGCTAATGAACAGAATATTCGGACGTACAATACAGAAAATGCTGGTTTACGTTCTCATCCCCTCAAGCTTAATTTGTTCGCACATCATTTAATTGGCAATGTACTCATAAAGAATAACACAAAAGCAATTTATAAATTACCTCAGCATTATCACAAGCCACCATTTCACCATACGAAACTTGATTGCATATGCAGTATCGTGGCTCATTTGGATCGTATGTCCATTCGCCTTCGGCAGTCTGTTCTACAACCATTCCATCTTTATTGACATAGCTATTAGATATTTCATCTGAATCGTTGCTATTGTGAGTATTAAGCTGATGAAGCAAATTCGTTTGTGGCGAAGGTGATGAAATGTTGCTGGCTTGTGCGAGTTTCTTCTTATATCGTTTTTGATTGCTACTCGATGGCGTTGAACTGAATGATAATTCACGGTCCACAGATTGTAAGCCATGCGTTGAGGATGTCGATGAACCAGTTAGATCTCGTCCCATAAGAAGTTCATGAGTATTCATTCCACCACTTCCATGAATAGCTTCATAAGATGCTTTTAAACTTGCAGTTCGTCGACCTTGTTGCATTGCTTGTGTCTTTTCGATTGCTTGAACTGCAGCTTGAACAATTGCATTTCCTGTAAAGCTTGATGGCGTTGAATTTGTTTGGAGGACATGACTTATATTAGGCGTTGTCGGTCGTATTGTAGGCGTTGAAATACCCGAACCTAATGCTTGTCTTTTCTCTGGTGGCATGCTTAAAAGTTGTGAACTTCCGCTATCTCTTCTTTTTTCCATTTTCTGTCTATAACGATCTGTTACTGTCGTTGTGACTGCTCGATTCTGTGTAATCGCACCAAAGTATCTGTTTTCTTTCTGATTTGGTGTATTTATTGATCCATCTAAATCCAGTGAGCGCTTTTCTAATATTTCAGTTATTCCTTGATTGTCAGCTTCCAATTCACATTTGAATTTCAGCAATTCTGTATCCAACCGTCTCAAATATCTCTCAACGAGATCATAAATTTGGTTTGCTAGCTGAACTTTCTCTTCTGAATCTTCTAGTACTTTAACATACTCCTTCTTTATTGTATCAAATTGTGTATCTGCATGAGAACCATTTAACTCACCTCGTTTGCATTGAGCGAAAAACATTTTAATTGTTTTATCAATTTTATCTGTGTCATCTAAAAATATTAATTTTAGTCATAATAAAAATTAATACTGGATGTCACATTTGTCGCCTTAAACTTCTTACTTTGAACAGACAAATCCAGTTCTCGCATTTCTGTGAATCTATCTCTTAGTTCCTGAGGAACTTGCTCAATCACTGAAAGAGAAATACAGAAGGTATTAATATAAACAATACTGGAAGGGATTATTATTGTCGGTGACTGGAATTATTGGAAGTTCGAAAAAAGTTGAACTATCATCAAACATAAAATAATTTTAAAACATCAAAATATCGTGTTTATATTGCTTACTTTCAAGGTAATCCTCTAAATACAACATCTTTGACACTTGATTATTCTCGTAACACTAATTAAGGTAATATAAATTAATTAAAAGATGGTTAAAATGGTGATTAAATAACTTTTTTATCTAAATGCTTCTTTTTAATCGAATTTTTTCACTGAACGATTTTCGAATATTTTTTCAAATTTTAACGGTTTTTCTCTTAGAAAAATGCAACGAATGAAATTAACCAGTTTCTACCTGAAACTTAATGAATTGAAGGAATATGATCAGGCAAAGCAGGAGAGACAGCAAGCTAGTCAAAAAGAGGGTGGTTCACACGCAATGACAGAGATTCCAGCTGAAAAATTAAACATTAGAGCTACCAAAACAAAGCAGGAGATTCATACAAGAATTGGATTTAATGCCAACGAATCAACATGACTGAGCACTTAAATACTTTAGTTTTATACTGATTTAGATGGTTTTGAGGAAATCAGTGGGTTAATTAAGGCTTACTTTTAATAAACTGGATCTTTTTGCAAAAGGTCCGTTCCGTTGAAAACTCATTTTGTTCGAAAACTGTAAAATTGTCATAATTCACTAATTTGTAATAGAATGTCATTAAACATTTAATCATTACATAAAATAAGTCTATCAAGATGTTTTAATTTTATTCAAAGCTAAAATCTTTAGAATTGCAAAACTTACCAGAACATTACTGACTTTGGACTAAAATAGTAAACAAAAAATATTTACATTCAAAGAAATCACATAAATCTGCACAATTTATTAATTATAGGCAAAGCTAAGTCAGAAAAAGCATATCGAATGACTAAGACAGTAAATATAGCAATCGTAAATACCTAGAAAATGGTGCAGAATAAGGAGATTAAAAAGCAAACGCTCAAAGTTGTGAAAAATGGAGATGCACACGAAGAAACGCTATTATTAAATGGAAAATTGAATGAAAATGAGGAACATTCAGAGAGCGAGGATGACTATATGGAGCATCTTTTGGTTGTGCCATCGTTAGATAAAAATGTTGCGAATAGAAATATGAATTTAGTATCAGAATCTCTATTAGGATTTTATTCAGCAATAGAAAATAGGAAAGAATATCCTAAAATTAAACAGGAATTGATGGGAGATTTAGTGTCAATAAAGAGTGAAAAGGTAGAAAAACGAATTGTAGAGGATAAAATAATTAACAATGACGATCTTCAGCTAAACATAGAAGAAATAGATATTAAATTGGACAATGAAGATCAGAAAATCGAGGTCAGCAAAGAAGAAATATATGCCGTACGAAAAATTTCAATCACCTTCCATAAAGCTAGATTCGGTAAGTTTGAAGCTCGATTAATTTATGCTATAATTAACTCATGTCCATATTTCATTAAAGTTCCCGAAAATCCTCCACAAATGTTCGATCAGTTCCTTATATGTCGACGATGTACAATCTTTTTTAAGTCAAGGAAGTTTCGTAAAATGCACAATGCTTTACATCACCGAAAAAAGCGACCGACTGACAATTTAAATGCATCAAAAGTGTCTACAGACAATGAGCCAAATAAGATTAGGAAACGAATCAGAAGTGGCGGAAAAGGCAAACTTTTAATTTGTGATTTATGCTCAAAAACCTTTAAAATTAAAGCTCTAATAAGATCGCACATGAATTGCCATTCACTTGAGAAACCATTAGCATGTGATCAATGTTCATATACCGGTAAACGTAGTTATGACCTTAAGAAACATTATTTCGTACATCATAATCCAGATAGGATAAAGAAGAAGCGAACAAGACGAAGAAAGTGTGATAAATGCGATGACATTTTAGACAGTAAGAAAGCATTCAAGTTACATTTAAGACTGAAACACCGAGAGAAGGTGGTAAGGAAGCCAAGGATCTTTAAGAGATGTGAGAAGTGCCAAGAAGCAATTTATACTAAAAAAGGATATAAAATTCATATGAAGGAGAAGCATCGGGACTTTTTGTATATAAAATGTGAAAAATGCAATCGTAGATTCAAGACAAACTTTAGATTGAAGAAGCATAAAAGTCGGTATGGTAAGTTCTGTCTGAATATTCTTAATTATTACTTGGTTTATTGACTTATCTTTATTTATTACAGCCACTTTAGGACAAGATTGCCGTACAAAAGCCCGAAATATTGGTGAATTTAATTGTGAGCACTGCAAAGCGAAATTTGCCTTGAAAAGCTACTTATCGCTGCATATGAAGAAGCATGAAGCGTACACTTGTGAAACCTGTCAATCCATTTTTAATTCTCAATTTAGTCTAAAGTATCATGAATTTTCTCATCTCGATACCGAGCCAAAATGCTTAAATTGTGCAAAAGTATTCTCATCGGAACAAAAATTCTCGAATCATCTCAAACGAAAAGTATGTGTAGCTCATGAAGTAACCAATGGACATATTGAAAATGGAATTTAGCAATTCTAGATAAAATTTAACTATAGGACTTTAAACAATGATACAGATGGAAAATTACTAATTCTTTTGATCACTGTAAATTATGATAAAAATAGGTTTTTTGACGATTAATAAATTTTTTAATTTTCACAAGAAAATAAATTGATGTCTTATCACTCATTGAAATCTTTACGTCAATGCAGTTATTGGAAGGGATTTGTTCTTTTTCAGAGAAAAGTCTAATTTGTGACGTTTTGTCCAAGGTTTTTGATTCATTGGAAATAAAATTGAAATCATGATGAAATAACGATCTTTTTGAATTCAATTTTTATTTCATTGGAATGTTGATTGGAATTCTAGCATTTTTATGGAACACTGGAAATATTTCCTCGAATTTTATTTTATTAAAATTCAAAGAGTAAGCATCGAATTTGGCATTTAACTTGTTATTTAATTCATACAATTAATAAATTCTTATTGGTAAGCATATTTATGATATTAATAAACTTAATCCAATGAAAAGAGCAAGTTAATTTGAATCTTATTTGAATTGAGCATTGATTTTAGAAACTTCTCCACAATTCACAAAGTTAATTAATCAACTTCAACAAATAAAAAATCATCTCTATGAACTTTTCAACTCGCTATACGCTACAATAGCCTTTCTTCGACTACTGAAATCATTTTATTGCTTATTAACACCACAATTCAATAAAAAAAAGACACTTCTGGTGTTCATTCAAACATATAATAATTCAATTTTTTATGCGATTACATACTATGACGTCAGTGCTTGTGTGCAAGAATGAAGGGTTGTGGTTAAAGGAACCACCGTAAAGCGATTTTATGAATGAAATTTTCCCCTTCTTCTTGATTCTTTAAAAAAAAATCATCAACAAGTGAATGGACACAATGAAGTGTAAAGTATTTCGTTATCTATTTGAAAGCTGCGAAACACTCCTTGCAATTTTATATAAATAGAGAGAGAAATTCTGTCAAAAGTATCAGTTTCAAAAGGACTGTCTTAAGAGAAACTACAGGATTTAACATTACAACTTGTAAAAGTGAAGTGAAAAATATAAATTCAATAAGGTTATGGCAAAATATTTCAGTAAAATACAATTGGTTTCAGCAGTTTTGATAGTGAGCTTGTTTGTTCTTGGAAGTGGTTTTCAGTCTCCAGTTGCTATTGAAAAATGCGATCATACAAGGAGGATTGAAGTTTTTGAAGTAAGAAAATCATCCTCGAACATAGGTGATGAAAGAAAAGGCATTCCTGATGATGGACAAAATAAATACATCAGAGACAAAGGTCGTGTAGACTATGAAACAAGGCGGGATACCAATGACGACTTCAGGCTAGAAAAAGGACAAACGAGAGATGAATCATTCAGACAAAATGAACGAAGAGAACGATTAGATACACGTCGTGAAAACAATAATGATGAAAGACGTGAAAGATCAGAATCTCGTAGAGAGGATAATGAAAGACGAGTGGGATTAGATACACGCCGTGAAGATAATAATGAAAGACGTGAAAGATCAGAATCTCGTGGAGAGGATAATGAAAGACGAGAGCGATTGGACACACGCCGTGAAGATAACGAAAGACGTGAATTATCAGAATCTCGTAGAGAGGATAATGAAAAACGAGAGCGATTTGACACACGCCGTGAAGACAATAACGAAAGACGTGAACAATCTGAAACTCGTCGAGAGGATAATGAACGACGAGAGCGATTAGATACACGCCGTGAAGACAATAACGAAAGACGTGAACAATCTGAAACTCGTCGAGAGGATAATGAAAGACGAGAGCGATTAGATACACGCCGTGAAAACAATAACGAAAGACGTGAACAATCTGAAACTCGTCGAGAGGATAATGAAAGACGAGAGCGATTAGATACACGCCATGAAGACAATAACGAAAGACGTGAACAATCTGAAACTCGTCGAGAGGATAATGAAAGACGAGAGCGATTGGATACACGCCGTGAAGATAATAATGAAAGACGTGAAAGATCAGAATCTCGTGGAGAGGATAATGAAAGACGTGAACCATCAGAATCTCGTAGAGAGGATAATGAAAGACGTGAACCATCAGAATCTCGTAGAGAGGATAATGAAAAACGAGAGCGATTTGACACACGCCGTGAAGACAATAACGAAAGACATGAACAATCTGAAACTCGTCGAGAGGATAATGAAAGACGAGAGCGATTAGATACACGCCGTGAAGACAATAACGAAAGACGTGAACAATCTGAAACTCGTCGAAAGAATAATGAAAGACGAGAGCGATTGGATACACGCCGTGAAGACAATAATGAAAGACGTGAAAGATCAGAATCTCGTGGAGAGGATAATGTAAGACGTGAACCATCAGAATCTCGTAGAGAGGATAATGAAAGACGTGAAAGATCAAAATCTCGTAGAGAGAATAATGAAAGACGAGAGCGATTGGACACACGCCGTGAAGACAATAACGAAAGACGTGAACAATCTGAAACTCGTCGAGAGGATAATGAAAGACGAGAGCGATTAGATACACGCCGTGAAGACAATAACGAAAGACGTGAACAATCTGAAACTCGTCGAAAGGATAATGAAAGACGAGAGCGATTGGATACACGCCGTGAAGACAATAACGAAAGACGTGAACAATCTGAAACTCGTAGAGAGGATAATGAAAGACGAGTGCGATTAGATACACGCCGTGAAGACAATAACGAAAGACGTGAACCTTCAGAATCTCGTAGAGAGGATAATGAAAGACGAGAGCGATTGGACACACACCGTGAAGATAACGAAAGATGTGAACCATCAGAATCTCGTAGAGAGGATAATGAAAGACGAGAGCGATTGAATACACGCCGTGAAGACAACAACGAAAGACGTGAACAATCTGAAACTCGTCGAGAGGATAATGAAAGACGAGAGCGATTGGATACACGCCGTGAAGACAATAATGAAAGACGTGAAAGATCAGAATCTCGTAGAGAGGATAATGAAAGACGTGAAAGATCAGAATCTCGTAGAGAGAATAATGAAAGACGAGAGCGATTGGACACACGCCGTGAAGACAATAACGAAAGACTTGAACAATCTGAAACTCGTAGAGAGGATAATGAAAGACGAGTGCGATTAGATACACGCCGTGAAGATAATAATGAAAGACGTGAACCCTCAGAATCTCGTAGAGAGGATATTGAAAGACGAGAGCGATTAGACACACGCCGTGAAGATAACAAAATACGTGAACCATCAGAGTCTCGTAGAGAGGATAATGAAAGACGAGAGCGATTGGACACACGTCGTGAAAACAATAACGAAAGACGTGAACAATCTGAAACTCATCGAGAAGATAATGAAAGACGAGAGCGTTTGGATACACGCCGTGAAGATAATAACGAACAACGAGAATCACATAGTGAAAGAGAACGCTTAAGCACTTATCGTGCAGACAATAATCAACGTGATAGATTTGCAAAAAATATTTTTGAAAAACCTTTAATGTCATCAATTTCTGAGAGCGCATGGTCATTCTGCCAAGGTTTACTTGTTGGATTTGTTATTTTAAAATTCTTGCAGCAAGGTGACGATTTAAAACCTGAAAGGTAAAATATTCCAAAAAATTTACTTCATGTAATTTTTTAATAATTTATTTGTTATTAGATTGACAAACTGTTGGAGTAAGCTTTTCTCACTCAAGGGAAAATAAATTTCTTCCTTATACGACCGCAAAATTTAAATGGATACAACACTAACCGCTGCTTAATCATGCATCAGAAAATTTGCTGCAACAATCAATTTTCTCAAGCCCACAAAATTATTAATATTTTATTGCTTAAATGGATGTAGACTTGTTGTTCATCTCCAGCATATGCTTCATATTACTATATTATTAAACATAATGTGTTATACAAGAATTTTACCTAAAAAATGAAATGCTCATCAATAATGCTTGGAAACTTAAATAATGGATACATATAGGGGATCTTTTAGAAAAGTATCAATAATATATTATATGCTTCAAGTTATTTATGCTAATCATACAATTATCTAATCAAATATCTATCAGGAAATTTCAAGGATCAAAGGATTTGTCCATGTGCTGTCAGACAAAAAAATGATAAAGTTATAAGAGTCTTAAAATTATATTGAAGATTTGAGAAATATTATGTAGTGTGTAGAAGAACAAAAAAAATACAAAGAAAATATTTATGTAGATCAAACATATACTTAACCAAACATATTAACTCTGAAATAAATTATATTTGCAAGAAAAAAGTACAGCTACACTATGTTTTTATTCAGGAGAGGTAGCAATATTTGTGAACTTCAAAATTGCTTACTGCTATTAAAGCGAAAGTTATTTGTAGGCTTTAGTTTGAAATATTATTAATGAAGATTGAAGAAAATGTTCCAACTTATTTATTTCAAGGTTGTTTACCGTTTTTCACCATGACACTCCGAAATTAAATTGATTTTTTTATTATTGCTATTTTCCTAAGAGTCATTAAGTTTATGTTTTTACGGCATTTAGTGCGTTTGATTTAAACAAACTGATAAAATGATTTGTGTGGTGGCAAGGGTGTTATTCAAAGGTGGGTAAGCAGAACTTTTATGGATGTCAAATATTTTTTTTGAAGGTTATTCACAGGCTGTTCTCAAGGGGGTTATAGAAAATTTTCTACGATGTCTTTAATCAATGTGACCTCAAATTATCAATGTGTGCATGCAATAGCATTTGAAAAATTATTTATAAAACAATTGAGTCTCAGCTTAATTTAAACAAATTGAACTACATTAGCTTCAGATGTTATTAGGATAAAAAAAATATGATTGCAAATTCTTCTTGAAATGTCGAAATTAACAATAACAAAATTTCGTCAAAGCATTCAGTCATCAATTGTATGAGTCATCGGAAGTTTCCGTTAACCTTTGCTTGCTCAATTTTCTGTGTATTTAATTTCATCTTTTGTTTACTTTCATGCTTATTGCTGATGACGATGAGAATAGTAAATGGAAATAGCAGAAATGTTGTGGCTTTGTATCCAATTGCGACCTAATCATTAATAGAAAATTACATTTGTACATTTGACAGTTTCTTATCGATAATCATTCAATGTCCATTTATTTTTGAAAATTCATTGAACTTTCCATTCGCATGACTTGTCCCTATAATTTAATGACATGGAAGGGAATATATTAAAGAACAAACATAACATACACAAATTGTTTCCATACTAAGACTGAAGAAAATGCTTTGCTCACCCTCATTTGTCCCAAGTTAACCCCAAAAATCGATCTTACTGGCGCCGTCTTTTATGTTTGTCGTTTCTTTCTCTTCTTTTTTTTGAAAATGGCAAAAAAATCCCCTCGCTCATTGCTCTTTTTTGCCACTCTACTCAAATGAAAATGAAATCGATGAAAAGAAGAATAAAAATTTTTGTCGGGGATTTAATGATGAAGTATTGTTGAAAATTATTTTTACGTCTGTTATGTACATAAGTAAATGAGCTTTATTTGAACAAATTTTTGCGGAAATAATAAATAAATTTGACACTTGAAAGAATGACGAATGAGCTGGTATTTAATCTATGAAAATTTCATTAAAATGTGAAAGAATTTCGTTGAGAATTCTTGCATTTTACTAGAGGCGTATCCAGGTCGTACCTCAATTTTTGGGAAAATTCTTTAGTTTTTCGAAAAAATAAATTGAATGTGAATTTGAAACTCACTCAAAAAATTTTTTGGACGTCCCTGAGTCAGAGTTGAAGTACCTTCTATTTAATTTTGTAATGTTTCTATGCCAATTACTTACGGTCTTATCATCATTTTCAAATAATCACAGCCAATATTTGAATTTAATTTACGGAAAATATCGCAGTTCTTTACGTTCTGTACGAATATGTTGAACAGCTATTGCTGGAGTAGACGATGTTATCACACTTTTTAATTCACTTCCAGACACGCAAGGCAATTAGTTTTAATAAGGAACTTTGCTTCTTTTGACCTTTTTTTGTGAGAATTTCATAAGGTTAAAAATGTTACAAAAAAATGGTGGAAATTAATGTTTAAGAGCACCAACGACTTTCCATTTTTAGATTCAAGACTAGCTTAATTTTTATTGAATAGAATAGGTTGTGCAGTGGATAGAAAGATTTATTTTTTGACAGCTTAACAATTTAGCCGCTATCTTTGGTATAGGATTAACCATCTGCAGATCTCTCTAAAACTTAAGTCCTGAAAAGCTATCGAAAGGATAACAAACCCTCAAATAAATTAAATTATTACACAAATCATGCCCTCCATTCCATGCTTATATGAACTCTTCATAAAGGTCAAATAATAAATTTTATTTAATACTTTTATCATCAAATTAAGTCTCTTAATGTAATTAATCAATTCCTTTACACAGTAACAATTTTATTATTAATAATTTACATGATAATGATAACTTTCTCCGATGGAGCGTGTGAAACAAGCTATGAAATGACAATTGATGATTGACAGAGCATGATCAAGATAGGGGCCGTTCACTTATTACGTTCGCATTTTAGGGGGGAGGGGGGGTTTGAAAATTTGTAACAAAATGTAACATAAGGGGGGGGTGTCAAGAAGTATGTAACGTTCCAACTGTCGTCTGTCTTTTAAAGAAAAGTTCACGAAAATTCACACCAACCAAAAACATTTTTTCAAATTTTCCACCTTTTTAATGATAAAATAAATTATGAACGTTCAGGGGGGGGGGGGGGTTGTGAGTTGTAACATATTGTAACAAGGGGGGAGGGGGGGAAGTCGTTTTTTTGCGTAACGTAATAAGTGAACGACCCCATAGGTAAACTCTAGCTTTTATGCTATTAACAACTGTAACAGTGTTGCAAATGTAGATGTCTACACTAGATGAAGAATGTAGATTCTTCAATAGTTTTTGTCTAGCTAAGAAACTTTCTTCATAAAGATCGATTCTATATGAAGATAGAAAATATAATCTACACAAAGATTATTTCTACATAAAGATTCTGTCTACATAAAGATTCGATGTAGATGTCTATAATTCTACATTTTTTCCAGGTCTACATCAGAGAAGAATGTAGAATTGTAGACATCTACATCGAATCTTTATGTAGACAGAATCTTTATGGAGAAATAATCTTTGTGTAGATTAGATTTTCTATCTTTATGTAGAATCGATCTTTATGAAGAAATTTCTGTCTCAGAATTTATCTGATCCAGACAAATAGCCAGAATGCAACACTGAACTGTAATGTAAATGATTATTGACTAGTCATTAGTTTGTTATATTCCTAGCTAGAATATACTTTTTTGAAGCTTAAATACTTGCTTTTATGCTTAACTTTAGAAGGATATTTGGGGAAATAGTATAAAGTCGTAAAAGACCACAACAACGAAGTTCTTAAACAATAAAATTTCTTTTTGAAAACAGTTCATTTAAAACCGAGCTTTAGAGAGCTTCCTTAAAAATTAATTTGAAACTTTCAGTTTTGAAAACTTCCCTTGATATTGATTTTAATTTGATGGAGGAATAATCATTAAACTCATTAGCTTATGAACTTTCTTCCCAAGTCAATTTTGGTCATTAAAAAGTCTCTATAATTTAGGTCGTTCCTTTTAAAAATAATTACTTTACGCCCATTCATCCACGTATGCGTACGCTTATTATAACAATAAATCGATGAATAAGTAATTTGCTATAAATATTCCCCCAAAATCAAAATTAATAACAAATGATTTTTCATGCTCAAGTGAATTTCCTACAACATTCAAAAAATTCTATGAAAAACATGAAGACAATTGCTTAGTACAGCTATAAATATGAAGAAGGAATTGATGAAAAAGTTGGAAGATTTATTACACAAATTTGTATCACAAGTCGAGCAATGTTGTGCTGATAAATGTTGCTTGCATGGATCTAACAAACTTCCACTGAATGTGCATGATTTCGTGATATGGTCGAAGCCCCTGACTGTTTTGAAAATTGAATAAAAAAAAACATTGAGAGAATGAGAGAAAAATGAGAATAGAATTGAAATTAATTGATACTCAACTGTCTTTTACGACTTTCAAACACACAGGTTGTGCGTGAAGGGAACTACTGGCACTTGCTGATATTTCACACTCCTAAATAAAATATTGATTCGATGACATCAGTGCTGAAAATATTTATCAAATAGTATTCTCACTTTTACTTGCATTTGGGCTGTGTCTTCACAATTTCCTCCATCGCTGCTCATACAATTGTAACATTTGAGAGAGACGGCTTCAAAACAAACAATATTAGCTTCTAAAAATATAGAATTGACTTATAAATACTTACATGATGCAACCAAACTATTAAAGATGACTAATACTAACAATTTTCTCATTTTTGACAGCAATAAAGTCAGTAAGGATCGAAAAAATATTCTCTGTTTTTGTTTCGACACAAAGCACGTCAAACACTACCTAAAATCCAACTCAAAATACTATAATGTTTGAGAAATTCGAGTATACCAAGAAGATGTGAGAATAATAATAAAAACAAAGTCGTGCGTTGCGTCATCGTTTGGCTATAGACATGTCTTTGCACGCGATATAAGATATTCGCAGCATGTTATACATTCTGTATCTCTAAAATTAGGTGAGAAAGAAGGCATTTAATGGAAATTGTCATGAAAATTCCCTAACCGCAAGTCTTGTCGGTGAAAATGAATGTTTTTCTCAAAAAAAAAGAACTGAAAATTGAGCAGAGAACGAAGAGAAGAAAAAAAATATTTTTTGGAGACGATTGGCAAATTATCTCATTCAACATACCGGCAAAAATTGTTTCAATTGTGTATTGTTGTGACCTTGGAAATGGTTTTGAGTTCTTTTGATGAATGACTCACGATACTTGAAGTGTGATTTATTTTGTTTTTTGTTTTACTTAGGACTCAATTTGGTGATTCAAAATAAACAATTTTTTGAGATTGGTTAACAATACATTTTCGTTAAAGTATTTCTTCAACCTTAGAAGCTCCTTTTTGATTAGCAGTGACGATTCTTGTTTTTCCATCCAGCTTTTCTGCATTTTTCTTCTTAATGGGTTCTTATAGGGTGCTCTAAGACAGTTATTCAAACTAGGTACAGCTAGGGTTTGGGGAACCTGTTAACAGAAAACAGAAAAACAGCTGTTTTTCGACAAAAATCTGTTAACAGAAAACAGGTTTCAAAAACAGATCTGTTTTCTGTTTTTCATTTTTACATATAATTTACAGAAAAAAAATTTTCTTAATTTTTTTGATTTTTTTGAAGAACTTAATATAGTTTTCTAGAATTTCATATTGAAATGTATTTCCTTTTTTAATATTTTTTGGATGTTTAATAAGTTTGAAATCATTATCAAATTTATAATTAATCATTACTAATTTTGCAATCGAAATTTTAAATTTGTTGAACCTTTTGTAGCATTTACTAAAGTTCAAAAATATAATCAACAATTTTACAAAATATTTTTTTATTTAGAAAGATTTTTTCGAATATTTCAAATAAAATATTAGAGTTTATGGAACTTTTGCAATGCAACAATACAATGTTTCTTAAAAGTATGAATATTTTTTTTTTGAACTTTTATATTTCATTCTATTTTATAAGAGTTAATTAACCATAAGTTCTCTATAACGTATGCTTATAACCACCAAAAAGTTTCATTATCTTAGAGAAACACTTAGGATAACTCAGTTTATTTTGAATTCTAGAAAAACAGCTGTTTTTAAAAATCAAAAACCGAAAACAGACTGTTTTTCAAAAACAGCTGTTTTTCAAAAACAGCTGTTTTCCACAAACCCTAGGTACAGCATTTTGTGGTTTTTGTGGCTTTATAATTGCTTTAAATGAAGTAATCCAGATGATTAGTATGTTAAAAGGTAACAAAAAAAAAAATACTCTATGTCAAAGGTCCTTAAAATCTGTAATTTAAAGATTTTACTAACGAGTGGACTGGAATTATTGACTTTTTCAAACAAAGTTTCATTTGCATCAGTTGATATTCCTTACATACGAGAAAACTTTATGATAAGTCTGCTAGTAACTGCTATCCAAAACATCAAAATTGAATATGTCCTTGAAATATCCTTCGCAACCGTCTGAAATTAAATCCACTGCAAATTTTCATCAAAACAGCTCCATTTTAATTTTACTCAAATTTACCCTTCTTTATTTATTTCTTCTCATGCTCAAATCTTATACATTAAAAGCAGACAAGGCATATAAAAAACACACTATGTAATTTAATACAATAGTAAAATGATAGAACTGTATAATGCAATGTATTAATCTTGAAGCTAACAAAAATTGAAAAGAATGTAAGTAAAAGTTATAAAGCATACACGATGACTCAATTTATGGCAAGATTTCATTCTCTACTTCTTCTTCTTCCTTAATGCTTCGTAAATATTTCCACAACTTTCGCTTTCCTTCTTCTATTTCCGACTAAGAACACAACAAGCATAAAAAAGAAGATAATTGTGTCGCCGTATGTCTTCAAATTGATTGTTTGAGATTGTGCGTATACCAAAAAAAAAGATTCGATTTTGTTTATCAACTTTTTTGTCATCTTAATTCCTGTACATTTAGATTTTTGCCTACTAAATATTAAGTTACACACATATCATCTATTCCTTAGATATAGCTAGTCAATAAATTTTCATGAAAGTAGCATTTTTTTGTTTAAAAAAATAACAAAATATTTTATGTCCAGCTAGGCAAGCTTGCTTAATTTTCAGTCATGATGAACTCAAATGATGTCATTTTATAGATATTATTTATGAGATTCACGGCTGTACAGAAGTATCATATCACTCAATTAAGCAATCCGATTCTTATTTTGGATATAAAAATCAATCATTTAGTCACTGAATTGTCAAGTTAATTGACGTTAATTCGAATGATTTTTGTGGAAAATTTTGAGTGTCATAATATTCCCAAAGAAAGCCGGTTCTAAGACGACATTGTTTCTATTATGTCTACATGAGCAGCTATAAACATTCAGTTCTTACAAACAAAATAAGGCATTTATTGCCTTTTCTGGGAACAATTCATTAGAACCTCCTGATCATAATGTTATGTCTATCTCAAGATCATTCAAATCAACATTCTAGCTATCTGAGACTTAATACCGCAAAAATTGTTTTACTTTTTGAAGAAATAATATAAATAGTGTGCATGAGCTCATCCATTTGTACGAAGCGGGATTATAAAGTATTGAAGGCATTAAAAATAGCAGATGAAAGTTTTTTGTTTATTGTGTCATTTATAAAATATTTTGATGACTGAATTAAATGTTTGAAAAAATAAAAATAATAAAATAATTTAGAAGAATTTCATGAAGATTGTAATGACAACTGGAATGAGGGTTGTCCAAATGCTGACAATCACATTTGTTGATCCATTACAGAGATCGGAATCACAAACTGAACAATGTTCCACGTGATCTCTGAAGATTGAACAGGCATTGAGTTGAGCTCCTTGCTTGCTGCATGATCTAGTGATTTGCTTAACTCCTTGAACTGTTGGATGTTTGGAAATGATGTGGAATTAGATTAAAGATTGGCAAGTTTTGAAATTATATCAAACTTACCATCAATGACGCTCTTTAAACATACAGATTTGATGCCGAGAGCTGTTTCAGCAGTTCCTGGTTCGGTACATGTCTGGAATTATTAAATTCTTAATTGTTGGCTTTAAAAATTATATTAGGGATGTCAAAAATATGCTAATTTGAGCTTAGACTTAGATAGGCATCGGTAGATATTCTCAGACTTAGCTCAAAAATACAGTTATTGACATAAACTAAGTTCTCAAAGGTATAATACATCTTAAAACATCCAATTGAATTTTATTGAATACAAATAACATTTAGGAGCTAGATTTATTATGATGTAAAGTACGCCAACGCACTAGCAATGAAACGTGACGAAAGAAGGCATGAAACATTTTCATTTAATTTCATTAAAACCTTTACATTGTTTAATTAGCAAAATTTTAGTGCTTTTTGAGATATTTTGTTGACTTTAACTGTATTTGTGATTAAATTATTAAAATTTGGTTCTTTTAGATCTTGAATTTGAAGATTATTAAAGGGATTTGCAAATGATTAGTCTTAATGAGAATTTGAAAAGCACTTAAAAACTTTAATTAATGAATAAAATCACTCGTAATCTTAAAAATTATCAAAGTTTCGTTAAAAACAAATGTCATGCAATCTTGGCCTTAATTCATGCTTTAGAGTCGCAGTAAAGATAAAAAATGCAGTTTCAAGCCATAAAAATGCTTTATAGTCAGTGCAAATATAGAAGTTGAGCTAAACTCATGACTATTTAAATGCAGTCATGTGTCTAATTTCTTAATGGGAATCTTTGATGTTGTATCCATATCAAACCATTACTTATGAAGTCTTAAATTTATTAAACAATCAAAGGCCGGTTTCTAGTGCTACATGGAGCAACCTAGGGTATAACATAGGATATGAATATAATTTATCTGACACTTGGGTAGCATAGAAATTAGACTCAATCTTAAATAATTTTAATTTAGAAAGAAATTGCCAGAAAACCACAAAATTTTTCACAGCAGATTCTTCAATCATGAAAAATTTATTTTTTCAAGCAGACAAAAAGTCTCTAATATGTCTATAATTAGCACACGAAAACATATAGATTCATAATAAAACATCAAAAAAAAGTAAGATTAAAATGTGTTTGTGGATGCCCTTCCAAAAATATTAGAGATCATTGAAAATATTTTAATGTAAAGGCACATCTAAAGGCTCTCTGGATAGAAAAATTCGATAATACTACTCTTGGACATGAAAGTTTTTATCATAAAAATGCCAATTCTAATGGAGAATACTTTCTCGACCATAGCCACATACTTTATGAAAATAAAATCCACACCCTTAATTAAATAATTTATTCATGAATATTAATGAGTCGCACTGTCACAGCAAGAAAGAAAAAGCTTTTGGCATGGATTCTTCCACGATAATGAATCAGACTTAAGTAAATTCATCGCTTCATAACTTCCTAATTAAAGCTATTTTGCTTGCTTGTTCACACAATCTCTCTGAATATTTATATAGTAAGAAAGCAAAAGATCTTTGTTGACTTTGTTCTTATCAATGAACCTTGTGACTTGCAAATTTTGAGATATTTTGTACTATTTTAAAATCACCAGAATTAAGTTCAACCGAAAATATTCACAACAATAATTTCAAGTCAGTTCCAACATATTGCAACATCCTCAATTCTATTTTAATATTCAGTCACTTCACGCTTGACAGCTAATCGAGTACAAATTACTCCATAAAATATAAAAATATTAAATTAACATCGTCTCACCTCAGGTGTTAAGTCACTTGGTGTTTGACATTTTCCTTCACCGGGGAAGACACATTGATAGCAACGAAGTGCTGAGCCTGGAAAATTCTTATTAAGTCACACTTCACGATATTATCCAAGTGGAACCAAATTATTTATGGACTTCCTACTTGGCAAACAAAACACAATTATGTGCCAAGTAGGTTGATCCAGAAGAAATTCAGCACCACTCAGTAATAGAATAAATCCAATTTACTTGATGATGCACAAACAGCAACGAGCAATGAAATAAGAATCAAATTTTTCATTTTAATTAATTTTTTTGGAAGTTTATTTTTAATTGAAATGCAATTAATCAACTAATTTAATAAGGCTTTCTTCCTTAGTCTGAAAAATTTAATGTTGAATGGTCAAAATCTGATGCGAAACTGAGCTGATGATTGCGGCAGAAAGAAAAATTGAAATAAAATTTTGTGGATGTATATTCACCACACCGCTTTGAATGTTATTATTAGACGAGAATTGAATAATGTGAGGGATATGCGAATGCTGAGCATGTGCGCAACAACAGTGCTGAAATATAATAAAATGTTCACTCAATGCGTAAATTTGTTGTTTTTTTTTTGGAAGTTTTTTTAACTTTTCGTCGAAATACGAGCCTGAACTCGCGACATAACAACAACAAACGCTATTTGTTGAGGGTGAAGCCTGTCTTCTTATTACTTAGCTGTATATTCTAAAAAAATTATGTATTGGGTTGATTTATTTAAATATTAACCGGCTTTTCTCTTCAAACTTAGCATTTTTATTGTGGATTCTTGATTCGAGTAATGAAGCGGCTGTAAAAACATTTCAAGGTCATCAATTGCGTGATGTTAAATTTAAAGTAACAAACAAATCCACTCCCAGCTCGATAAATGTTTACCAATAAGTTTATTATCAGAAATAAATAGTTTGTCTTGTTTATTAACACGTTGGTGACACTTTAAAGGGATTTATTAATGGAAGTGATGTTAGTCACTTTGAATGGCTTGTCGGACTTTTTGCTAAACTTTATTGAATTATTGTTTCTGAGTTTTTACGACATCCAGTGAATTGAACATTTCAAAACTTAGCAAAATCTTAATTTCATGATTTAGGGAACCTCTATTTGTACACGATCTTTAACATGTAGCTTAGAAGCAAAACTAATGAAAACCTAGTCTTTTAAACTACTCTTCAGTTCCTCACCCCAAATCTAGTTCAAAAGAATGCTCTCTAATCAATTAAAGTCAATTTATTTATCTTATATTTGCCAACTTGTGACATAAATGGAAACCTTACAACTAAAATGTAAACATGATGTCAAAAATGCGATGATGAGTAAAACGGCAAAAAAATCATTTTCACACTCAAGCTTCGTTGTTGATAATTTGCAGGTAGATTCACTCATTAGAGTTGAAACACAACAATACAAGATTATGTTGATCCAAGGACTATGAAAAGCACGCTGTCAGTTAAACTATAAATATTTTGAATTTTACCACATTTTTTTCGATGTTGTTTACGAAAGTTCGAAAATGAATTTTAGCATAAATTCACAAAATTTCATATTTAAAGACAATTTTGGTTCTGTTTGAGCGTGTTGCTGTAATTATTGAGTGATAATAATCGATTTGCAACTGTCATAGCTTAAATTATGCTTCAAATAGATGAAAAATTTGCAATTGAAAATTTTTGTCATAAATTGTAAACAAACTTGTTTTGTTGACAAAAATTGGAAGATAAAATTTGAATCAATCAAAAAAATATTTTTACAGCCTTATAAAACTAAAACCACTTAAATACAATATAATTAAGGGGCTGTTCACTTATTACGTAACGCGAAAAAATGACTTTTTGGACCCCCCCCCCTCGTAACAAAATTTGTATGAAAAAAAATTTCCTTGTTTGAACCGTAACAAAATCTTAGACCCCCCCTCCCCCCCCCTAAAAGCGTTACGTAATAAGTGAATGGCCCCTAAGTAGTTTTCAATCTTTACACTTGCATTTTAAATTGTGAAAACAATAGAATGAAAAAAATTATAATGTAAAGTTCGAGTTCGAATTTTCATCCATAGTTCTTGGATGTTGAAAAAAGCTTTTCTATAACCTTTAAGAAAGCTTCAAAAACGACTAATCCACAAGACTTTTTACTATTTTTCCCACAATACGCAATAAAGTCACATCAAATTAATTTTATTTCCAAATCCAAGAAACAAAATCAAAAACACACAAAAAACAATCAAATTTAATTTAGATCAGTTCCCCCCTCATGCCAGATATTAATTTAAAACAATTTTGTAAATAAAACTGAAAGTATTATGACAGAGAGTGCAATGATACTAGCATATGATGAGGTGGTTCCGTTGCAGAAATCTTTTTCGCATTCAATGCAAACAAAATTTGTGCTTGAATCTTCATGAAGAGATTCTAAAAATGAACAAGTTCCATTTTCTGGCTGATGCATTCCACATTTGCGTTCGTAGAATGTCTTGTTGGTGTCTGGAAGGTAAAATTAGACTTGATATTTTACTTGATAAGTTATTTAAGCTTACTTGGAATGTTTCTTGAGGTCTTGACACAGATAGCCTTCATACCATACTTTTCCTTGTCATCTAGTGATGGCTCTTCGCAGTCCTTAAAGGAAATTTCATATCCAAATTTTATGAATCATTAAAAATCAGACGACAAAAAAGCTTTTTACGCTCAAACGAGCAATGCCAACAAAAAAAAAATCAAATATTTACGAAACTCAAACATTGCATAATATATAAAAACTTACACGCTTTGGTAAATTTATCACTTGTTCACAACGATGATGTTCTACGCGTCCACAATCATGACACTTGAGTGCAAAACTCTCTGATAAATGGAAGAAGTTTAAAAATAGAATTTGATTGACATTTGAGTTGGTAATGTTATCACAAACCGTAACTGAACAGCAGAAATAAGAGTAAATGGATGAATTGCATCTTAAAAAAAGGATATTGAAAGAAATTGTAGCTTCAGTCAATCAAACGTTCCTTACTTGCAAGCACAAACTTTATTGAACTTTAAATCCATATTTTCTGATGTTTTCAATCTAGAAAATTTTAATTTTGTACAGCATTTCCCTGGGAAATAATGCGCTTATAGGTCCACTTTGACTGGCAGTTTAGATTGACAATTCTTCGAGGAATGATAAGCTAAAAGAATTTGGTTTTTGATTAAGGACGTGTTCATAATGATCCTGGATTTATATTTTAGGTTCCAAAATATTAAAAGGAATTGAACCAACGATACATTCTCCAATCTGTGCGCTTAGTTCATCCGTTCTCATCAATAACTTCTAAACTAGTTTGACGGACTTGTAGATGGTATCGGTGCTTATCAAACAACATGAATCTCAAGACATGATACTTAAAACCTTCTATATTTTTGACACATGAACCAAATAGCTTTATTGATGCATCAAAAAATCAATAGAAATACAATACTTTCCAGATAAGAATCTTATTGACATCACAACTTAGTCTGCTTGCTTTTAAAAATATTTATAAGACAAAACAAGTAAGATTACTGCAAATCCAATCGCTGTCAATTCTATTTGAAGGTTTTCTGATGAATTGCAGAAATCTTTTAAGCATGTTGTGCATTCGAAAGTTTTTGAGATGTTTGCAAGCTTTTCGCATGAATCTTCAGGTCCGTTAGCCACTCCACATTTACGGAAAATTCTCTCAGTTCCGTTGACTGAAATTTTGTGAATTAAAATGAAATAAAGTAACGTACTGCCAGTTTCACTAAAGTGGATTATCCTCGATTTAGGATTATCCACTTCAGTTTTTTGGAAATATCTCTAGACACTTAAGGTTATTAAGAGATCTAATGTGTGATCTAGTTAGAGTACTTTGTTACTTAAATTAACATATTCTTTGAATTATTATATCTTCATTAGTATGAGAATTATAGCAAAAATCGAAGTTAATCTACTAGATTTGCCTAGAAAATTGAATAATTAATACGTGTTAACGAAAAGCAAAAGTTTTAAGTATACAGAAATTTCAGGCATACTTCACACTATTATAATCCAAAATTAGAAATACCACACCTCCTATAAAGTTTAAGATATTTACAAAAATCTGAAGTGGATAATCCGAAATCGAGGATAATCCACTTTAGTGAAACAGACCGGTAGCTTTTGGAAGTCAATTTATTTAGCATACCATTGCCACTTGCTTTAAGACAAGCTACTTGTGATCCATAGACTTGTTTATCATAGTTTATAGGTTCAAAACATTCCGTGTATTCAAGTCCGATTCCTTTATTGCATTGGTCGAGAGTAGCTACAACACAGTCATAACAGTAGATGCCAAATGCATCTAATGAAAACAAAATTAGATTCTTAAATTTCAAATTGCAGCTTCAGCTTAAATTTTATCACCTTCCAAAAGTAGAAAATGCCCAAAAATAACAAGTAAATGCTTGATCTTCATTAAATGCTTCTTTTGTGTTGTTACTGCAACAGAACTGAATATAAACTAGAATTATCAGTAAAAAAAGCTTTAAACACATGTTGGTTCTGATTTTTATTTTGGATTAACATGTCAGCAAGACTTGTACATTTTTAACTACATGGATGTAAAACATGTTCTGATTGATATCGAGTATAAAATTGAATATCAATAGCTACTCTAATTTAAGAATAAACTCATTATTCCAGGAATTAAGAACATCGCATATCCAAAATTAATTTCATTACTCATATTCCTTCCATCACCATCATTGCAAAAATCATAATTGCATGTATAACACTCAAATTGAAATTAAGAGTATCCATCACCAACAAATGTGCATGTATCATTAATTGTATTTGCAATTCCACACATTCTGTTGTAGAATGTTCTATTGTCCACTTGAATAAAAATCAGAATGTCGATGAAATTGTTTTTACAATAATAAAAATCATTCTATACTTTTGTATGAGGAAATGATGCAAACTGGACTTGTTCCTTCTTCTTTCGGTGGCTCGGGACATTCCTGAAAGAATTAACATTTGAATAAAGATTCATTGACATTTTAGGGAATTCTAAAGTTTTGATTCTCTTTCCAAAAATGTCTTTGAAACCAACTCTGGTAAAGTAAATCCAAAATTGTTTAAATAATTCACGCATTATCAAGCATGTGACAATCGCATCTCCATTAACATAAAGTGTAAAATTATTTATGATAATATTTGTCATCGGTTCTTACCCTCGTTGGTACATTTATCAGCTTTTCACATCGATCAGATGTTACTCGTCCACAATGATAGCATTTTCAGCTGAAAACTTTATTAGGAAATGCAGAATGTCAAGTAGCTTGTGATTTTACTTATTTTGTAACACTTACCAAATTGTATTGATGCTGCAATAGCTATAAGCAAATATTTTAGATTTCGCATATCCTTTTGATGAGAACTTAATAGAATTTGAATTGGAACTGGATTCAGTCAACAAGCTTTTTGTCTTTTATAGGTCATTTTGCTCATTAAACTTTAACTTGGTTTCTGCATTATTTATAGCAATGAAGAAGTGCCAGAAGTTTGGTATAGTACACAAATGTGTTAAGTATATAAATAGCAAATAAATTATGGATACTGCTGTTCAAAGCTGTTGATTGTTTTGGTGACATGATGAATTATACATTTTGATCATAAATTGGGTCAAGGATATTATTCTTGATTCAATTCTTCAGAATAGCTCTAAAAGCAATAACTCTGTATGCAAACTCATCGAATTCAAGATTTTCAACAGCACTCAAAGTCAATTTCTTTTTATTTCTCGAACTGGATCCAAAGTTTACAAATTTACAATACATGCAATAATGAACTCGAAAACCATTTAAATTCTCAAACCTAACAATAATTTTCTTAAAACTCTGAAAGCTAATTAGTAGTAAGGTTTAAACTAGTCTCTATGAATTCAGCTTTGCCATAAAAAAACTCAAAATTCAAAACCTAATCAAATCAAACTCAATCAACTCCAAACTAGCCATATATCCCAAATGTAGAACAACATTACTTCCAGAACATTGCAACAGCTACAATCAACAGCATCAATATTTTCGATACATTCTCAAAACTTCCAGAATTACAGAGTTCCTTGTTGCAAATTGAGCATACAGTTTTTGGATCCTTTTCCCTTTCGAGCTCACAAAAGCTTTTTGAGTCACCAATTAAGCATCCACGATTATAAAGCTCGTGTTTTCCTGTTGCGTAGTTGATTGTTTTAAAGCAAAACTTTTGCATATCCTTACGATCGTCTGATGATGATGAGCAGTTCTGTGAATTAGAATTGAATTGACTTTAATTTAAAGTGAGTTCATTGAAAGATATCTTACAGATGCTTTGGCTTCTGCATTTCCTTTTATACATTTTTCACTAGCTTGTGAGCAAGTGTAGCACATGAATGCTGATGTTCCTGAAATTATAAGTGAAATCAAAGTTTAAAGCTTCCAAATCAAATCATTCTTAACACTTACTTTCAACAATCAGCATCAATGCAAAGAAGAAAACAAGTCCTGTTACTTTCATTGTCTGATGCTTAGTATATGCTGTCTTAAAGAAATATAAAGGAATCTTATCTATTGATTCCTGTCAAATGAAATGATGATGAATCGATCCTGAAGCTTTTATTTAAATGACAATATAATGGACATTAGAACTCATTACGTGCATTATTATTTAAAAAGGAACTAAGTGTGTGTACTCAGTAAACAGATTTCCGTGACTTAATATTTTGGTTTTTCCCGAGCGATTGAGGAAAACTTTATACTTTTACTTCAAACATTCGAATTCCTGAATTAATCTAGCAACAAACATTATTATGACTGCATTGCACGGGATTCCTTCAATTAAAATTCAATGGAATATCATAGCACAACACTTAACATAATTAATTTTGATATTTTGACACGTCACATTTATTTCAAGACATTCATAAGTACATAACATTGAAGGCAATACACTAAAAACCAGTCAACATGGTACCTTAAGGCTCTAAAGGATGCTTGTTGACAGATTCGTTGCCTGCTAAAAGTTAATCAATATTTCCAAAATGTTTAATAATCTCTGGACATGATTAATGTTATTATTGACCATAACATCCAACAACAGAATTTAATATTACAGTCATGAAAACCAGTGGCTTAAAAATATCAATTCCATTTGCCTTGTTGCATGCATCAGCTCTACAAAAATGACAGTCAGCATCCGGATCAGTTTTGGTGATATTAGTACAAAATACTTCAGATGTGACTGAACCGCCACCGTAAAAGCATCCACGACTTGCCATAATTTTTTCTTGCTTGTCAACAATCGCTAGAAATTTTTATAATGATCCTAAGTAGTGAATTATTAAGCAGATAAATAGATAGCTTTACTTGTCTTTATGACTTTATAGCAAAGTGGACCAGCTCCTAGTTGTCTTTCGTTCTCAGGGACGTCAGGGCAAATCTGAAATATTAAAGACACTTGAATACTTTAAACAAGCACCTGTGGAACCGAAATTCTTACATCAAGCTCAGTTTGTGGCGGATTGCGATCGAGCATGCATGTGTTATTAGCAGACTTAATGCATTTGTGGCAGAAAAGTCCAAAAGCTACAGAATAAATAAAATTAAACTCAAATTACTTCAATCGGATGTTGACAATACCTCCTTGCGTAAAGATTGTTAACAAAACTGTTGTGTAAAAGATGCTTCTCATTTTTGTCGTATCTAGTTCCTCAAAATTTAATTCAAATCCTGTTAGACTATTCAAAATTCAGCTTTGAAATGAGCAACAGAACTAAACTTTAATAGACTGTAAAATGAGGTGGATTAAGACGAATATTGTCTGTAGCGTGTGCTTCTTTACTGATATGGACACGCGACAATCATAACCAGTATGTGAGGTGTCAAGGTGGAATGAATTTTTTATGAACAATTAATTAAGAACATACAGTGATAGTAAGGCAAAGGAAATAATGATTCTTTTTGGAAAATGCAAACTTGCACTGCTTTTTCCTTCATGAAATGAATTTTGACTTGACATATAGATGGAGCTAGTCAATGTCTCATGCGTTTAGAAATTCATTTTTTTAAAGGTCTCTGAACTGGATTCTAAATGAATTTTTAAGACTTCATAAGTGATGATCAAGAGTCAAGATCAAAATTACAACCAGCAAGGATCAATCCTTTATAAATCCAGAAGAGTAGCTATGTCTCAAATTCTAAAGAACCAAACAATCAGTTTCATCAAACATCAAAACAATTTATTTCCATTTCTTCTCGATTTTCTATTACATGACAAAAGCATAGCCAGAATAGCCACTAACAAAAGCTAATATGAAGGAAACAAACATTAGAAATTCTCCGATTCTCAGAACATTTGCATCATTGCATCGATCGTCATTGCACAAGTAGCATTTTACTTCAGGATCTCTGATGTATTGTGTCAAGCAAAAATCAGTTCTCCCACCTCCAATGGTACATCCTCGATTGTAAACCATTGATATATTATTTGGTTCATTCAGAACTGAAAATAAGTTGCTAATGAATGTTTGCAAGGAGGAATTAGCTCGGATTTTGTCTTACCTTCCTTTTTGACTTTATAACAATAGTTTTGAGCTCCAAGCTCTTTTTCCGTATCAGGTACAGACTCGCAGTTCTTAAAAGTGAATAATAATAAGCATTAATTAACATGAAATGAGATTTTTTTACCATTGATGTAAAATTCGGTGGATCTAAAATATTAAGAATGAATTTTGGACTTAAAGTTTGATCAGGTCTTAACAAACGTTTACCCTTTTTGGCTTCACAGCTTGCATGTTGATGACTTTTACAATAGTAACACATCAGTGCTGAATCTACAAAATGTTTAAACAATAAATCATATAATGTGCATTAAAATCTTATAAGATTTAGGATCATTCATAAATGACAGCCATTGAATTGAATTTTTCATATTATAAAGCCAAGAATGTCTTGATTCTTATATTGGACGATAATAATGAAGATCCTATTAGTATCCATTGGATTCATTTCACTTTAAAAGATCCAGTGACAAAATTAAAATCTTTATAATACAAACTTTTGATTATTAAATATCCAGAAAAAATTAGAAACATTAGAACGAACTTCATTTCTGAAAGAATTAGGTTTGTGGACAATAAGTTTAACTTCAACGAAAGCTGATGCCACAATAAAAAAGAACTAATTCATTGATGTTTTAAATGAAATTATGGAAATTATCAAGATATTAAGGAACAACATCGGCGTTGTTGGTGATTTAAAGATAAAGACATGAGGTACATAAGAACAACATATATTGATTTTGAGCTGAGAAATCAGACAACTGTCAAAATTTGGTCGAAGACAATAAAATCCAAAAATCCAGTCAAAACTTTAAAGTCAATCAATTTTATTCAAGTATCAGGCAGGATTTTTTTTTTACCATTTAATATGCCTGCTACTATCTCTCATATGATTCCGTTCAGCCTGATCCCTCATATAGAGCACAATAAGAACTGCCAAGAAGAACATCAGACATCGTATAATCTGCATGTCATTAGCATCATTGCAGTTGTTCTCATCGCACAGAAAGCATTCAATTTCAGCTTCCTTCTTTCGTTTGTCTGCACAAAAGTCAACAGCACCTCCTTTTGTTGCACATCCACGGTCATAGACATAAGTCTCGTTTACATATCTTGTTGCTTTTTTGGGATGAAAAATTATTGAATTTAGGACGGAATTCAGTAAAATTGGTATGCAAAAAATTGAGATAAATTAAAGCATGTCTCAAATATCCTTACTTGTTCTTTCGATTTTAAAGCATGCATGCTTCGCACCTCTATCAGTATCTTCTTGAGTCATATTGTTGCATGTCTGTAAATTAGAAATTAAACAACAGGTTTTATGGATTTTATTTATGTCAATATAAAGGCGTTGTGTACATTTGATGATCAGCTGTCTATTACATATTCCAGCATAAAAACGACAAACTTACAATATTAATCAATTGTGAATACACTTGCTTAGAATTGCAGACATCATGAGCAATAGTCTCAATGTATGGATATTTTTGGGCACACGCGAAGCAGTAATGTGCATGAACTGGAAACAAAAGTATCATTTTCAGTCAAATCACATTAAAATATTGAAACTTTACCAATTTCAAAGCTGAAACATCCAAAAATTAAAATTAAGAACTTGATAGTCGATTCCATTCTGTTTTGGTCAGCAGTTGACGATTTAATGAAAGTTTTGGATTTTGTTGCTTAAAGAACATTAATAGATCTTCAAGCGTAGATTAAGAAGACACTGTGCATAGAAATTGAAACAAGCTTCATAATCTCTACCGTAGATCATTGACTCAATAAAAATAATTTTAAACACCTTCACTTCCATCCCTCCTTGATTTGGAACCAAATTAAATCAATAATTGCAGCACTAAACATTATGATCATGACTAAACTGTTGAAAGTGCTCACATTGGTTTTTAATACTCAAACTTGCTCTCAAAAAAAAATGTTCAGTTTGTGGCCAGATTCAGCACGTAAAGGGTGTGTATTGATGCGAAAATGAAGCAAGTGACTTTATGGATATTTGTTGGAATTGTCAAGCTCTGTTCAGCTGTAAATGAAACGTGCATTTTAAAGTCACGGACAGTTGGAATTTGCAAGCCTATTATTAAATGTGATGTTATTCTTGAAACACTTACTTCTGGTGATTTAAGCTATTTGCAGTCATGTCAAACTAAAGGTGAAATTGGAATTTATTGCTGTCCACTTCATTTGTCCAAATCGGGTCCAAAATTATCACCTTTGTGTCAAAAAAGCATTCAAATTAAAGAAAATTTAAGGATCAACAGCACTGAAATTAGTTCCAATGCTGAGCTTCCTTTTCTGGTGCAGATATTGTCAAGCGACAAAGATTTTATTGGATGCGGAGTTTTATTGTCAAAGAAATTTGTGTTGACATCTGCACATGCTGTTTATGTGAGACGTACTATGCCAATTGTAAGGTTTGGTAAAGTAAGTAACTAGAAACATGAATTAGAAATAAGACTTATATCCATTTTAGAACAGATTAGATGCAGAAATATTGAACATCAATGTTAAGGTACGAAAATTTTCACATCCCCCAAAACAACATCCAATAACAATGTTATCTTCCAGCAAGTGATTCCTCATGAACTGTACTTACCCAGAGAAACTTACTTTGATGTTGCATTGCTTCTATTAAGCCAAGCTGTCAAGTTTGATGACCTGACATTTCCTGTTTGCTTACATAATTCCCAAATTGAATTAGGCAATGTCCGAAAATTCATACGCAGTGGATGGATGGAAAATGGATTAATGAAAAGTGAAGTCCAAAAAATGCAGAGATCCAAATGTGACGCAATCTACGACACCAAAAAGTATAAAATCATGCTTTCTGACGGAATTTCCAACAGCCTCTTTTGTGGATGGTCTAAAGAATTTAGCGTAAATTCCGACGGTCCAATTCACGTGCTCATCAACAATACATTCTTTATTTATGGATTTACTACAGCAATAAACACAAATTATAATTCAGAACTGCCTGGACTTTATACCAAGATGTCTGACGTAGCAAATTGGATTGAAGATATTATATTCAGCACAGATTCCCCTTGAATCTTATGCAATTTGAAAGACATTAAATAATACGCAATTGATTCCAACATATATTAACAAAAATTTTATTTCGTTTTGCAGTAAAAGAACTGCATTAGACAATAAATGCTCCCAAGTATTAAAGTAATGTATTCATTGGATTTACAATTATAAATTAACCAGAAAAAAAGCTCTCCTGAGCAGACTTAAATAAATTTTCAATTCACATCAACTTTGGGACTTGCTTTCACCACAACACTACTCGATGCTTGTTCCTGTTGTTGAGCGCGGTCATTAAGAATGTTGAGGTATTGTGTTAGGCGGAGAACAGCAATAAGGGATGCAAGGTATTCGGTGAGGTCTTCTTTCTTTAGGGATTTAACATGAAGGGATACAGTTCTGTAGACACGTCGAGCTACTTTATTTGATAGGGCGCCGATTGTCTGAACTGTGTGGAGAGCTGGATCTTCTGCTGCAGAAATTGGTTCTTGAATGAAAATGTCCATAAGCAATTGCGACTGATTAATTAATTTTTTATACTTACTGTCGTCCTCTTTTGATTCATCTTCTTCATTCTGTGGGAAGAAAGTGTCCAAGAGACGTTCTGCTAATGCAGCTGTTGAATCGACGCCAGAAACAGCCAATGATCCGTAATGAGTTGCCAAGACTTCATTTGCCTTATTGTAAGATAATTCTTTCAATGATGCTGCCTTTCTAGTTCCTGACTTTCTTAATTCACAAACTTTTTCAATTCGTGGCTGAACAGCATCCATAACTTTTGTCTTTGCTTGATTCAAGATCTCTGTTGGTTGTTCCTTGATGATTGGTGCTGATGCTTCCAATTTGTCAATTCCCTTTACTAAAGTCTGATCCACATAATTAATTGGCTGCTCAAATGCATTAACAATTGGTGCTGAAATATTTACAGCACCTTTTACGACATCCTCAGCTGTTCTGAATGCCCAATTGAACATTGGATTAAAATCTAAATTAAAAAATAATGAAGAATTAAAGTTTGAACTTAATTAAAAGAAAATAAATGACGCTTTGAGATATCAGACGAGTTTTGATAAGGAACATGCGAGAGCTCAAAACATATTGATTAAATGATTTTTTTTTTGGACGAAACGCATTTAGCTCCTATTTTTGATAATGAATTCTGAAGTAAAATATTCTTAATCTACTTTCATGAGCTTACTCTAATAAGTCAGGAGTCATTGGCGCACTATGAGTAATGAGTATCGTACGTTAAAAAATTCAATAAACAGAAAATGATGTTTATAGTTGAATCATATAGCATTTTCGCTCGTAATCAACTTTTTGAAAAGGTAAATGAATGAAATTAATAAAAATATCAATCACTGCTGATTGTCGTGGCTATTAAGTAATCAACGTTTTTCTATTCCATAACTGATGACTGTCATAGTTTTATTTCGTGTAAAATCCTGCTTATCAAATCAGTAAAAGCCGCATACTTAATGTTTGAACTTTGGCCAGAGAACTTCCAAGAGAAGAAAATAAAAGTCTTATTTATTGTAACCGTTATCTAGACGATTCTCGTGTTATATGTCACGTCACTGTCTGATTCACTTTCTTATCAACAATTATTCTAATTTGGATCCTCATTACTCAATAATAGAAAGTACAAAGCATAACAGGATTAAAAACATCATTTAATTATATAATGAGCATGTCATTACTCAATGAAACGTCTAGAACAAACAATCAATTGCACATTCTTAATACGACCTCAACTAACCTTTTACTTTCCCATAAACACCCTGACTTTGAGTCCATGCGATGGAAATGGATGGTAATGATAAGAGTCGATCAATTGACTCTAAATGTGGAAGTAATGATGATACTTCAGATGCTTTTTGTAATGCACCATTGGCACCATTAACACCATTTGATTTATCACTGTTATTTTCATTGGTTGCCATTCTTTTGTCTTGTTAATTCTTCCTTGCTCTTTCAAAATTCCTCAAGTCTTGAGATTTTCAATGAATTGCTTATTTTCTTGTCGAATAATAAAGTATGCTTCAACAAATTCCAAAAAATATTTACTTTTTAAACCAGAACAAATATATGAAAACACGTCGGTTCAGAACGAGTACTTCCGATAAACTGGAATATTCAATTATTAAGCATGTCGTTTTTTATACTCATATATAAATCCGAAGTGCTTTTTACAACTGTATGTGTGCTGTGTTGATAATGTGTGCTTCAAAAATGCATGAATGATCAGCCGGTCAAACTTATTACACTGTTTTCTTATGCCTCACACTTTGTTCATGCTTTTAATAGACGTAAAATTGATAAGAATGGGAAATACTCTTTGAAAACACGAAATTGGTCTGATTAAGAGTGAAATTTTTGTAATTTTGTTAATCTTTACTGCTTTTTTGATATAATAACTTGACTCTCATAAGACTGCTTAAAACACACTTGAAATTTAATTAAATTAATTTTTCCTCAAACACGTGGCGATGTATTTCAAAACTGTACAAATTTTTACAAAAACATTGTATGGTTTTAGAACATTTGAATTATAAAAAACTGTTAAATATTTAAATTACAATAATCCACTATTCGAGGACAACCACATCAATATATTTCTCATGTAACTGAGTGGGTTCAAACTAGAATGTGTAATTAATCTGTAATCAAGCATGATTTATTGCAAAATTGCAGTTCAGGAATAATTAAGGTGCTTAACGCAACACATTCAAGAAATCACGTTAATACACGCCTGATTTTAAGCATGTGAATCATAACATTATGACACCTTGAGTTAAGTGTTTATTAGACTTTGCTCTTTTGTGTATCTAGCGACTAAAAAAAAGAGGGATTTCACGATAAATTGAGAATTTAATAATATATGTGTGTGACTGACTGACAACTTCCCAAGAAGATATTACAAAATACATGAGTTGTATTTTTTTCGTAAAGCTCTTTGGACTTTAAAATTTGGGCAACCTCTGCGATATTTATCGATAAGCCACTCTAATCATTTCTACAAAATTTAGCTTCGTCTAGTATGATTTCCTTGAGATATTTTTAGACTGCAAAGGTGCTGCAATTAAGTCAACAAATGACAAATGTCAGAACTTGGAGTTTAGACTTATCATTCGATATTTACGGAATTTCTGATAAAAGTCCACATCAACAATAAGGAAAAATTTCGTACCCAAAATAAGCCTTGTAGTAGTATGCAGCACCAAACAAAAACAACGTCGCAAAAGCTGATATCGTCTTCAAAACATACACAAACCTTGACAACAGATCGATTTGAGTGCTATCGCTATCAAAAAAAAAAAGGCTGGCTTATAAGGCACACAATGTAATCAATAAAAGTAGGAAATGCCTTTCTCGTGTCAAAGTTCTTGATTTGATAACTCAATTCTTGACATGCTTCCATAAATCTTTAATTTGAACTTTCATAACTGAAAAGTGGCTGATAATATTTAAAGTATTTCCGAATAAAAGTATTTTTAAAATCAAGAGTTTCAATTTTTATTTTGAGATTTAATGAGGCTTTAAAAGCCGACTTTTCCTAATCGAGTATCAGTTTTTGGCTCTGTCGTAATCAGATCTTGACATTCGACAATTGTCTCATTGATGACTGTCTGAATTTCTCGTAAACTCTGAACTTGTAAAAGTCTCAAAATTCGTGATGCTGTTTCTATATCTGCGTCGTTTTGATTCATGCCTTGACCATCGAAAATTGGAAAAGGTTTGCCTTCGGGAATGGATATCTTTAGTGCTTCTTTATTTAAGTTATCTTTGATGACACGACTAATTGCACCAAGAACGATTAAGTGATCAGGATGATGAGGAACATTAAGTTTAAGTGCGAGGGTACGAACTCCAGCTTCAAATTGAGGACTGGTGACTAAACAAAAAATAATGTTATAAAAGTACTTGACATGTGTTACTGGATGACTAATACTTACAATCGAGATTATCAAATGGATTTACGGATTTGACGCTTGGCGCACTAGATTGTGACTTTTCAGCTTCCCTAATCTTTTCTGATGTCATTGAACGATACTTGTCCACTAAAAAAGTAATACATGATTAAAGAAAAATCACAAATAAACAGCATAAATCCTTACAATTATCACTGTATTCTAATTTGATTGCATATGACAAAATCCATTTTAGTTGCTCTAATTCTGTTTTTAATTCTTTTGGACAATTTAGATCCTCCTTATATTTCTCGAATGCTTTACTCCATTCAGGACTTGTTATCTTCCTTAATCCTGCTCTATCCTCAATTTTATAGTTTCTAATATGTTGATCTTCAAGCCACACAATTAAATTCCTAAAAGACTTCATATCTTGCGTATTCACTTCGGGATTTGGATGTCCCAAAGAAACTAGTTTATTTCGAAGCATTTTTATCGGATTTAGTAGTGTTTTAATGCTCTAATTAATGAATTAAATGGACTTGATTGATTTCACAATATTTTTGCCGAAAGATTTATTTCTTGACAGAGTTTCAAATATTTTTAAGCCGTTAAAAGAAGTGAAAAAGTTATAAGGCCCTCGTAAATAAATAAAGCAACGTGCAGCGATCCTAAAATAGTTATAATTCATAAAACCAATATTAAAATGGCAAAAGTAGAGTCAAAAATCGTGTTACCTGAAACAGATTCAGAAAGTGAATTAGATGATATAGAAGATGACGAGAATCGTTTAAGCGATGATGAAGAATTTCCAATTTCTGATGATGAAAATGACGATGAGCCAGAAGTAGATACTAAAAAGACAGGATGGGCTAATTCAATGGCTAAAATCCTCAATTCAGAGAAATCAGAAGTATTGTCTAAAGCAAAAAAGGTTGAGGATTTAGAGAAAAAGAAGAAAAAGCAAAGTTACACATTTGAAATTGAAGGCGAACAGAAGAAAGAAGGTGATGAGCTTAAACCAAGTGAGGAACAACTTCAGACAGCATTAGCTAGGAAAAAACGGAGAGAAAGGCGCGATGTAAGTTAATCCTACACACAATATAGTATTAAATTCAACTAATTTAAGCTCTTTTACAAACTTTTAGGGAAAAATTAGAGCCTTGAATCTGCGATTAAAACCATCCGTTGCTGATCTTGACAGAGAGAGAACATTAAGGAAAATAGCAACAAAAGGTGTCGTCCAATTATTTAATGCAGTAAAAAGTCAGCATTCAGATTTGGAACAAAAGTTACAGTCAACAAAATTAGAGAGCAAACGTGATGAAATCATTAGAAGTGCAGATAATAAGAAGCATTTCCTCGACACACTCATGTCTGGTCCACGAGCAAAATCAGAGCTAGTTGATAAACGTGTAAAGAAAGAGAAAAAGAAGGAATCATCATCATCAGACGAAGAAAGCAATAAGAAATCAACATGGAGCGCACTTAGAGATGATTTTATGACAGGTAAAAAGGTTGGCTGGGACAAAGAAGATGACGACGATGACGAGTCAGAAAACAATGAAATGATGAGTGATTCGGAATAAAATTTAATTATAAGGTGTAAAAAAAGGATTCTATGAAATAAAATTTTTGAATAATTTATGTCCTGCATTATTAAAGATTCCTGATAATTATAAAATTTATTAATTATACATTAGGTCATTGTCAAATTTTTCAGTTCTAAAAAATTTTAAGCTACTCATTAGTTGTAAGAATGTCGTACGATCCTAACGTTCCTGCTGACATTCTCAAAGTTGCTGTTAATACCTTAAAGCTTCTTGGATATCAATTTTCTTATAAATTAAGGAAGAAAAATTTATTTTTAAATAAAAGCCGGTGCATTAGTGCTGTTAAAAGTTTTTATCTATTATCAGTGATCCTTAATATTCTGATTTATTTGTTGTATCATGGATTAATGGTGATTACAAGACAAAAACACGTCACGTGTGCAATGTATGGATTTGCTTCAATTTTTGTTACTTTAAACTATTTGCAATGGATGATTAACTTGTGGATTCATAGAGCAAACATCCAGAAAATGATTACGGAAATGATGTGTTCACATATTCCTATAATAAGTAACTCCAGTGATTCCAAAAAGATTACTAAAATTTTCTTGCTGATCAAAATCATCCGAAACATGTTTATTGGAGTAATAATCATGTTTTTCGTCTTTACTGGACTTTTATTGATGATGGGAATCACAAGCTCAATCAATTCAACAGAAAAAGTACATACATTCCTAATGACAGTGGATGTTGATGATTTTGGAGATACTGTAGTGTTCATAACTTGGATTTTTTGGACATTCATTAATTTCTCAATTTTCTTCTTCTCATTTTTCCTTTTAATTTTCATTTCCATCTCCTTTGTGCTTATACAAATCTTTAAAATTAAGTCAGAAATTATGTTTGTCACCAAAGACATCAATAACTTTAATTTAAAGCAATTATCAGGAATAGTCAAAAAGCATGTGAACTTAATAAAATTTGTGGATAATTTCAACGTGATTTTTAAAGGATCTATCCAGTTTATGTTCATTCTGTATCAACTGCTATTTTATGCAACTATAAACATCTTCCTTACAACCGATTATCCTGTGGATCGATTTTTTACCATTGTAGTATTTGTGCCAAATGTTGCTTCAGAGTTTATTTTCTGCTATTTGGCTCAACTTGTTAAGGATGAAAGCAAGGAACTTCAGACCTTAATATACAACTCAAAATGGCCAAATCTTAAGAACAATCAAATGAAAAAGGCACTTCTGATAATTCTTAAACAAAAGTCATGCTCCATTAAATCCGGATTCAAATTAGCATTTCAATTGCGTAGTTTTTTGAAGGTAATCCTTAAACTAATTCAAACAGGTTGTTCCTAAATGATATCATTTTAATAACTTACAGGTTCTTCAATCTACAGTTTTGTACATGCTTCTTATGAGACTTGTTTTACAATAAATCTATATACTTAAGGATAAGGAATAGTTTACATGTGACAATCAAGTGCTGACTTTATTGTATGTGATTCAATTGTTGTGTCTAATAAATTTATTAATAATGCAAAGAAAACTCAAATAATTTTTTTATTATTAAAATAAATTGACTGTATGCTATGAAGTGGCTCAACTGAAGACAATTTTACGTATGTAGCCTATACTTAAAAGCAAAGGTGTGTTCAAATAGTCCAAGTTTTAAATCTTATGTTCTAAAATTACAATACTTTAAAATCAATCCTAAATTAATAAACAGCTGTTTCAATTATTTTAATGTTTTTATTATTCATTCTATAGTTTGGAACATTTCATAAAAGTTTAGGCTACTTATGGACTTAGGATGTCTTACGATCCTAACCTTTCTTTTGATATTCTCAATTTATCAGTAAATTCATTAAAGCTTCTCGGGTATCAATTTTCTAATGGGTTAAGAAATAATAAAACAAATAAAATAATAAGTGTTTTTAAAAGTTTATATCTCGTTCTAGTGATTCTCAATATTGGAATATTTAAATGAAATGAAAAAAAATTTAGGATGTTTTATTTGTATTTGTTTTAAGCATTTGAATATTTATGCAAAGTTTCAATCCATTTGGATAAACCCTCGAAGAAAAAAGTGACAAAATTGATTTTGACTAGGGTCGCCCCTAGTCCAAAATTGAAAATGTATTTCCTACTTGGTTCTTTGCTCAAAAAAATTTTAAGATGTTTTATTTGTTTTTGTTTTAAGCACTAAAATATTTATGCAAAGTTTCAATCCATTTGGATAAACCCTCGAAGAAAAAAGTGACAAAATTGATTTTGACTAGGGTCGCCCCTAGTCCAAAATTGAAAATGTATTTCCTACTTGGTTCTTTGCTCAAAAAAATTTTAAGATATTTTATTTGTTTTTGTTTTAAGCACTAAAATATTTATGCAAAGTTTCAATCCATTTGGATAAACCCTCGAAGAAAAAAGTGAAAAAATTGATTTTGACTAGGGTCGCCCCTAGTCCAAAATTGAAAATGTATTTCCTACTTGGTTCTTTGCTCAAAAAAATTTTTGGATGTTTTATTTGTATTTGTTTTAAGCACTAGAATATTTATGCAAAGTTTCAATCCATTTGTATAAACCCTCGAAGAAAAAAGTGACAAAATAGATTTTGACTAGGGTCGCCCCTAGTTCAAAATTGAAAATGTATTTCCTACTTGGTTCTTTGCTCAAAAAAATTTTACGATGTTTTATTTGTATTTGTTTTAAGCACTTGAATATTTATGCAAAGTTTCAATCCATTTGTATAAACCCTCGAAGAAAAAAGTGACAAAACTGATTTTGACTATGGTCGCTCCTAGTCCAAAATTGAAAATGTATTTCCTACTTGGTTCTTTGCTCAAAAAAATTTTACGATGTTTTATTTGTATTTGTTTTAAGCACTTGAATATTTATGCAAAGTTTCAATACATTTGTATAAACCCTCGAAGAAAAAAGTGACAAAACTGATTTTGACTAGGGTCGCCCCTAGTCGAAAATTGAAAATGTATTTTCTACTTGGTTCTTTGCTCAAAAAAATTTTTGGATGTTTTATTTGTTTTTGTTTTAAGCACTAAAATATTTATGCAAAGTTTCAATCCATTTGGATAAACCCTCGAAGAAAAAAGTGAAAAAATTGATTTTGACTAGGATCGCCCCTAGTCCAAAATTGAAAATGTATTTTCTACTTGGTTCTTTGCTCAAAAAAATTTTTGGATGTTTTATTTGTTTTTGTTTTAAGCACTAAAATATTTATGCAAAGTTTCAATCCATTTGGATAAACCCTCGAAGAAAAAAGTGAAAAAATTGATTTTGACTAGGATCGCCCCTAGTCCAAAATTGAAAATGTATTTTCTACTTGGTTCTTTGCTCAAAAAAATTTTTGGATGCTTTATTTGTATTTGTTTTAAGCACTAGAATATTTATGCAAAGTTTCAATCCATTTGTATAAACCCTCGAAGAAAAAAGTGAGAAAATTGATTTTGACTAGGGTCGCCCCTAGTCCAAAATTGAAAATGTATTTCCTACTTGGTTCTTTGCTCAAAAAAATTTTAAGATGTTTTATTTGTTTTTGTTTTAAGCACTAGAATATTTATGCAAAGTTTCAATCCATTTGGATAAACCCTCGAAGAAAAAAGTGAGAAAATTGATTTTGACTAGGGTCGCCCCTAGTCCAAAATTGAAAATGTATTTCCTTCTTGGTTCTTTGCTCAAAAAAATTTTAGAATGTTTTATTTGTATTTGTTTTAAGCACTTGAATATTTATGCAAAGTTTCAATCCATTTGTATAAACCCTCGAAGAAAAAAGTGAGAAAATTGATTTTGACTAGGGTCGCCCCTAGTCCAAAATTGAAAATGTATTTCCTACTTGGTTCTTTGCTCAAAAAAATTTTAAGATGTTTTATTTGTTTTTGTTTTAAGCACTAGAATATTTATGCAAAGTTTCAATCCATTTGGATAAACCCTCAAAGAAAAAAGTGACAAAATTGATTTTGACTAGGGTCGCCTCTAGTCCAAAATTGAAAATGTATTTCCTACTTGGTTCTTTGCTCAAAAAATTTTAGAATGTTTTATTTGTATTTGTTTTAAGCACTTGAATATATTTAAAACTGAAATTTTTATGATTATTTTTTCTTTTTTGAACTTGCTCGACATACGACTTTCAGATTCAAAAAAGTGCTCTTTGCCAAGAGAACACTTGTTCATTTTACTGCATTAATTAAAAGCATATCCAGAGAGCTTTCTAAATGAAATTAATTCCACTACCATGGGTAGTGCACTACTGAAGCACTACAGCGATTTTTGTCAAAAAATTGGTGTTTTATATATAAAAAAACTTTTTTTACTACCAAAACTTTGTTAAAATTATATGACATTTATTCAAAAGTTATAGCTTTTGGTGTAATCTTTTAATATAAAAAAGAAATTAGTAATTTTAGTTGTGCTTGTGAAGACCTAGACAAACGAAAGCATGACGAACACGCGGTTTTTGAGAAAAATCAAATTTTTCACAAAATTTTCCAAAGTTATTTGCAATTGTTTATATCTTAAAATAAAGGAACTATTTAAAGCTATTAAACTTTGCCAACTTTGAAGTGCATGCTGTCGACTTGGGCAAAGTTTTAAGGACATAAATGTAGGGCAGAATAAGGACTATCATATAAGCTGTAGAAATAATTTTTGGAAAAATTTTCCATTTCTGGCCCATAGTGCTGTACCTATTTGTTATCATTTAATATATTTTTTGGCACAAAATTGAGAAATAACAATTTTGAGATGAGACCTGTTAACAGTTTTTATTATTTTTCATAAATAGGTGGCTTTAAATAATATAAAATGTACTTGCTTTATCATGGATTAATGTTAATTCCAGAATAAAATCAAGTCACATGTAAAATGTATACATTTGCTACTGTTTTTGCAACCTTAAATTATTTGGAACGAATGACTAGTTTATGGATTCAAAGGATTAACATCCAGAAAATGATAATAGAAGTCATCAATTCACATATTCCATTCTTTAATGAGTCGAATGGATCAAAAAAGATTTCAAAAATCTTTATACTTATTACAATCATTAGAAATGTGTTCGTAGCAGTTATCATAATGATATTTGTGTTCCTCGGGCTTATAATGATGATGGGAATCTTAAAGTCTTACTGCTCAAAAAGTTCATACTAGAATATCAAAGAAGTTTGTTTAACAATAACATAAACCGAAACTTCCACATGTTGCCCGTAAAAAAGGTATTCATTCCTAAAATATTATTTATTAATCTAATTCGAGTCCTTAAAAAATCCCAAATAAATTTCATAAAAAGCTTGTCCACCGCCTAAAATCATTCCGATAATGGACATCAATATGATGATTAAATTCTTAATCCAATATCCAAGTCCAATTCTATTATATTGTGCCTTTCTCGTTGTCAACTCAATTATAGCTGGGAATATAAACACAAGAACACTGCAGAATACAGCACCGATTAAACTCAATAAAATGCTCAAGTTTGGAATCAACTGTGCGACTGCAAACGTCACAACACACATAGTGGATCTGAATATCAATTCTGCAGTCACTGGACGCTTCCTAGCAAATTCAATTTTTTCCACAATTGGCGGAAACAAAATTTGAATAGCCACAAAGAACTGAATTGGATATCCTAGGAAGAAATTCAAAATTAGAAAGTATTCAAGAAATAAAGAGAAACTTGATGCTTACCAAACAAGACACCAATTGCGACCATGATTATTATGACTTGTGCAAGTCTGAAAAGCAATTAATATTGAGAATTAAGTCACATTTTATATTCTGCTGCTTACATTTGATCCACTGGAAGATTAAGTGTCAAAGAACCAGCTGTCGCCTCTCCAAACTTCCAATAACCGAAGAATCCAATTGTAACGTAAATAACAGAAACAAGAACCATTCCAACATTCATAACCCCAAGAAGTCCAACAAACTTTTTCGGTTCCTTCATTGCATTTTGTAGAGGCAGAATCAAAGCAATTCCTTCAAATGCGAAAATTGCTGTACCAAAAAACAAAGGAAGACTCTCAAAATTCACATACTTCCGCTCACTGAATGATGGCAAGTCAATTAAAGAATATCCAACTGTAAAAATCACTCCCAAGATCATGCAGATATTAGCTAGTCCCGAAAATATTGCTGGAATTAAAAATTATTTTTGTCACCTTGTTATCGGGGCAGATCAAGCACAATACCTATATTCTTCAGCTTTCTTTCCAATATTGAAAACCAGACAGGAACCAAAACTATCGTCATTATAATGGCCAGCTTCATATTGATGCCGTAATGTTCAAGAATCAACTTTATGCTGCTCGAAACGAAAATCAAGTAAACACAGCAAAATCCAAGCTGTGTGACGCATATAGCAACGTTGCAGATTGTTTTGGCAATAACCGCGCACTTCTTCCACTTGTCATTTTCAGATTTATTGACTAGGAAGCTCAGCTCTACTACTTCTGCAAATTCTGGTCGTAAACTCAACTCATTTACTTTCATTATGTATTCAGCACCATTAATTAACATTTTAAAGCACTGAATGCAAATTATTGCGATTATTGTCAAGAGAATTGGACCAAGAATTATTCCAGCATTTTTAATAGCATCAGCCATTGCAAAGCATCCTAAAAACATAATTATGTTCAATTAATTAAATTGCAATGTTGCATTTAATAACACATCATACATCCATTAACAGCTATAACAACATATTGCATAATAAATGGCATTCAAGCTTCACATTTTTACCGTGTTTCACATAAAACTTTCGAAAATTTTCTTCTAAAGTAGAACTTTGCAGTCACGACTTTGATCATTATTTGACTTGCTTACCTGTTCCTACATTTCCCTTGAATAAATTGGCAAGTGTTTCCCAATAAGATGTTGGTGGTTGAGCATCGTGAATCTCTCCATAGCCCATAAAAGATACTTTCTTTTTTGAAGGGTTCGTCTGTGGCTTATCTCCAGCTTCTATCATTTTGAATTTGGAGGAATTTGGCAATAACTTAGAATTTATTAAAATATGACTCAAAACTTCAAAGTTTATAATTTATATTATTTTACAAGAAATTTTTGCTACTCAGCCACCTGCGATTGCCAATCGAATAACTGAAAAGTATTTTTTTCTTCGTTTCCAATTTTGTGCTTCACTGTACAGAGGTGGATGAAGAAGGTGGGAGGTTCAATAAGCTTAAAAATCAACATTTGTTTTTTATCAAAAATATCTTTTATTGAAATTAGTTTGAGTCTGTGAAAAATCCTAGATAAATTTCATAAATAGCTTGTCCACCACCAATAATTATACCAAGAGTTGCCAGTAATATGATAAACATGTTTTTAATCCAGTAAGGTAATCCAATACGGTTATATTGTGCTTTTCTCGTTGTCAACTCGATTATAGATGGAAATATAAACACCAAAATGCTACAGAAAACAGCACCAATCAAACTCAGTAAGATACTCAAGTTTGGAATCAATTGTGCGACTGCAAACGTCACAAAACACATAAGTGATCTGAAGATTAACTCTGCAGTAATCGGACTTTTCTTTGCTAATTCCAATTTTTTTGTTATTGGCGAGAACATAATTTGGATGGCTACATAAAACTGAATTGGATATCCTATAAGTGATAATTTATTATTGGATTTAAAGAACAACTTAGTAGTTCATGCTCACCAAAAAGTACACCAGTTGCGACCATAACTATTATAACTTGAGCCAGTCTGGAATAAATTATTAATTAAGTTAAACATCCATAACATTCAAAATATGCAGACTACCCACATCTGATCCACTGGAAGATTAAGTGTCAAGGATGCTGCTGTTTCCTCACCAAATTTCCAATACCCAAAGAAACCGATCATGACATAAATTATTGAGACTAATACCATTCCAACATTCATGACACCAAGAAGTCCAACGAATTTCTTTGGTTCCTTCATTGCATTTTGAAGGGGAAGAACTAAAGCGATTCCTTCAAATGCAAACATTGCTGTTCCGAAGAATAAAGGCAAGCTTTCAATGCTCACATACTTTCGATCACTAAAATGTGGCAAGTCAATCAAGGAATATCCAACGGCTGAAATAACTCCCAAAATCATGAAAATATTGGCAAGTCCTGAAAATATTGCTGGAAAAAGGATGTCATGAATCATTACTGCATCAATTAAATTAATTGAAAGATTTTACCAATTCTTTTCAACTTCCTCACCATAATAGACATCCATAGCGGTATTAAAACAATCGTCATGACAATTGATAGCTTCATATGTACGTCATAATGATCAAGTATCAACTTTATACTACTTGAAACGAACAGTAAGTAGACACAACAAAATCCAAGCTGTGTGATGCAAATTGCAATATTGCAGATTTTTTTAGCTACTGCTGAATATTTCTTCAATTGAACATTTTCAGATTTATTGCCTAGGAAGCAAAGCTCAACAACTTCAGCATACGCTGGTCGTGAACTTAGTTCATTCGCTTTCATTATGTATTCAGCTCCATTGACAAGCATTTTCATGCATTGAATACAAATTATTGCAATAATCGTCAAGAATGTTGGACCTAGGATTATTCCAGCATGTCTGATGGCATCAGCCATTGCAAAGCAACCTAAAAAGAAGGTGAGTTTTCAGTCACGCTTTATTATCTTTGTGTCACTTACCTGTTCCTACATTTCCCTTAAATAAATTCGCAAGTGCTTCAATATAAGATATCGGCGGTTGAGCTTCGTCAAGTTCTTCATATTTTGGAAAAGAAACTTTCTTTTTTGACTGACGAGCTTCATTTTCGTCTCCTGACTCTGGCATTTTGGCTCAACTAAAGCTTTCAAATTTTTATTTGAAAAACTTGCACGTTTTTTGGCTTTTTGCAATAGCAAGCAGAATAAAGGAGAACTGCCGCAGTATTAATTTGTTAATTGTATTGGTTCAGTGACTTAATGACTCGTTAAAATCGTAAAATAAATACTTTGTGGTCAGAATTAAGCTTTTCTGTCAGTAAAAACTTCAAAGTACAGCAAAACCAGTTGCATATCAGCTCTAAGGTTTGATTGACTACTGACAGCTGATTCAGATAATTTGAATTATATCTTCTAAGATCATGACAGGAGTTCACAAACTTTTTAATCCAATACACCAAGGTAGTTCTATTGGCAAACTAGATATTCTCGAGAATATCCAAGGTTTTAATGTTAAAAAATTAAGGAGAGGGTTGGCTAGAGGTAATATTAAAGATCCAAGTTATTAAGTTATGAGACAGACTGCTTCTCCACACCTGGATCATAGTATTGATAAAGAGAAATGTTTGTAGATCTGATAAGAGAACTTGAAAGATTAGATTCATTATAAAAATATTGTTTGAGGAAATAAATTAAGCAAATATTTTGAAAGATTTGATTTTTTATGCAATTTGCATCTCCACACGAGTAAATGGAATTCTAGACTAAGGTAGGAGTATAAGGGAGAATCCCATGTTTTGAGAGGTCTGAAGCTCATGACTCTTAATCATTTGTGAATGTTGCACAATCTTATAAGCCAGTTTTATAATTTCAAGAATGCCAGGCTGCAAAATAAATTGAATAAAATAGATAGCCTCCTTATAGTCCCTCTTTAAAGATCTCAGAAACTTCCTGAAACTAAGCAAAATAAAACAAATATTTTGATATTTTATTTCTCATTCATAAATTTTGTTTTGTCTCTGTTTTATTGAGTAAAGGCTTAATTTACACAAAAATATTTTTTTTCCTCATCGTAAGCTCCACAAAAAGCTCATTTAATTAATAAGTTTTGATGGTAACGAACATTCGCTTATGCTCTAAAATAATCGAGTAAATTACATTTTCTTGTTACTTTATGTTTAGCAAAGAATTAAGGCGTTATTAATATTTTTTTCGTTCCGTGTTTCGGAATCTCGTCTTTAAATTGAAATAAACGTTTTTTTTTTATGGAATAAATTTTTCTTGTCAAATTTTGACAATATGTAGTAAATAATTCAAATTCTTTTCTTAATCACATCACAGATTATGTTTTTTAATGTAATCAAAAAATCATTATGTATTTTTTAAGGGATTTCAATTAATGAAATGAAAGATAATTTACAAAAAGTTAAATTAAAATACTTTTTTTATATTTTAAAAATATTATTGTAAGTTTAATTAATTATTTAATTATTCCGAGTAGCATGAACTGCTCGGTAACGTAATGTTAAGTAGGATAAATTAAATTTCCAGTCTGTCCTCATAAGTATATTTTCATCTCCATTTAAAAACAATCAAACTTTGCTAGCTGACGGATGATGTTTGCCATTCTGATCACGAATATGAACCTGATTGTAGAAAATTACGTGTAAATTAATTTACAATTCAAATGTTCATAATCATACATTCTCAATCTTACCTGCGTGATAAATGGTCCGCGATGTTGCTTCATTTGCTCTGGTATAGGTCCTCGAACTGAACTTCCGGTAATTCTCACCGAACTTGATCCATTAATTATCTTACTGCTACTGTTACTATTTTGCAATGGAAATGGATGCTCACCAAGCTTCCTGTAATGTCCATTTGGATTAATTGTCTCATATTCATAATAACTGGATATTGGTCGCATGTGATGCATTGATTGTGTTTGTTGCTGCTGCTGCTGTTGCGGTGACTGTTGTGGATATTTGTGACCATTAATTATCGGAGATACTCCGTTAAATTGATGGTAATGTCCTAAGTCAACATTGCGTGCTGATCGTTGTGAGTGGTAGTGCTGATTTCGTCGACTTTAAATAAAAGGTGAATTTTAAGTTAAAGAACTATAAAATTATCTACTTTAAGGAACAGCAATAGCGAGAAAATATATTGCGGTTCCTTAGTAAATTCTTAAAAAAACCAAAAAAAAATCGTTATAAATTTTGATCAAACATTGAACATAAAATTTTTAATCACACAAATCTGTGCATGCAATACAGGCAAATAAATGGTAATTTTGTGCAAACATAAAGTGCCAAATACGATAATCTCTAATTGTATATAATGTATTATCAGATTCAATCAAGAGATAATTATTATCTACCCAAAACTCAATTTAATTAACATTCATGCATCGATTACAAATTTTTTAATTGCAAATAATTATCTCTCAATAAGTGAAACATTAATTTACATGAGATGAAAAAAAAAAAACACGGCAGATGTGCAATAGTTTATTAAATTTACCTCTCTTCCACCTTTTCCCTTTGAATTCTCACTTGCAGTCGCATTTTTTCAATTGTCGTATCAGTCAAAAAATCATTTGCATTCTCACCATCAGTCGATTGATGACCAGACGAGCTCGAAAGCTCATCGCCGAGATATGCATTTGAATTTTTCGCCTGATGTTGATGATTTGTTTGGTGTTTACTTACTATCAACTTATTTCTAGAGTTTCGAGACGGGGGATTTTCACTTTTGTTTAGTTTTATATTTTTTACATGTGACAGTTACATTAATTAGTGTTTGAGGAAATTCATATGTATTGTGTGCATTTATAGAGATGACGGCGGTGTGTATTTGGTGATGTGTTTTATTGTTTTTGTTTTTGTGTAGGCGGAGCACAGATAAGACAAAAAAAAACGAAACAAAAATTTTTAAGTTTTAAATATTTAAGTGCAATTTATTGGAAATGAGGAAGTAGTGAATGAATTTAAAATACTGAATAATTAGTTGATGATCGATTTATGTGGGTTCATTTTATATTTTTGATGCTTAGATGACCAATTTCATAACCGAGATGACATAATTTTTGTTAATATTATTTGCCAAGATGACTAATTTTACTACTAAAATGACCAAAAATTTACCGAGATAATCAAATTACTTTTAAACATTACCGAGATAGTCAAATTATTTTTTAAACATTACCGAGATGACGAAATCGTATTACCGAGATGACCAAAATCATACAAATGAACCAAAAATTCACTTAAAACCGATCTTTCAATATTTCTCAATCAGAATTAAATTATTAAAATTGTTCATGAGGAGCAGTAAGCAATACAGACCGAAACAACATCACCAAACAGAGAGATAGAAAGTAATAAATAGAATATACATATAACGAGACAGAATGAGATTCACCAAAAAAAAGTTTAAAAATATTTGCATAAAAGTATATAAATTAATGAGTTAAGATGAAAATGGAATCACAAAGGAGGATTGTTAGTAAGCCCATAAAAATATACACAAGCATCCAATACAAGAATTTTGCTGATTTTGCAACTCACCTAATTTGTAATTGAAGCTCATCATAATTCACATAGTGAGAATATCTATGATTGAAAAGATCGTTCTGTGTTATTTTACTGTTTGGGTGTCCATTTAACATTGAAGTTGGAGGTGCATGATAGGATGGCGGACCATTAGAATTCGATGATAATTGTCTTTCGTGACTCGGCTCTCTCTGTTGATGATTATGACTTTGCGAATTCTGTAATTGCTGTTGTTGCTGAGCCGAACTTTGATTTTGTAATTGTGAAGTGTTTGAGTTTACAGAAGGTGAAGAAATTGTCGATGGCCCAAGAGTAGCACTCTTTTGGGATACATCATTTGACCAGCTAGTATAATCTGTAATAACTTCTGTTTGTGCTGGATAAACATCTTTCCTATGTTTTCCAAATCTAAACATGTGACCAATGCCTTTGAGAAATCCAGGTTTCTTCTGATCTTTCATTTTTCCTTCATTTGTTGATGATTGAAGAGTACCACGGTTACCAAATCCACCGTCATGGTCATTAATATTCATTCCATCTTCAAGAAGCCAATGTTTGCGAGGCTCTAATTTAATTAAATAATTATTTATTAAATATCCATAAATGTCAATTAAACAATTATACTCACGTGACTCTGGTCTTTCTACAGCAGCACGAAGAACTTCTTCCCTTCCACGACCTCTCGGTGCTCTTAATGCTGATGGACCTCGTGGCTCGTCTGACATTTGAATCTCTTGCACCATAGTTTGTAATGATTCGAGACTCGATGACTTTTTCATACCTAACGAAGGACCAAGATCACCAACTTTGTCCATTGCTTCAGATTTCATATCTGACGTTTGTCGTGTCTTCATGCTTCCAATACGATTCATATTTGTTAGAGATTCAATCGAACTGTGAAGCTGTGAACCATTCTTCGATACACTCTTTCCACGTTGCTCACGTTCCTCACGAATTTTTCTATTTCGTTGATATGTTCCAGTCTCTTTAGCATCTAATGCTGCATGATGTTTCTCTGACATACTTCGTCTTCCAATTGCATCTCGACTAAATGCATCGACTGGATTTTCTAATGATAATTGACTTGCATATGTAATATCACCTACACTAGTTGGCGTTGACGCTGAAATTTGATGCTGAATATCTGGTCGAATGGGAAGAATTGGTGAAGTTGGTTCTGGATCTTCTTCAATTAAAACACCATTACTTCCATTGAGATTTACAACTGGACTCCAATTTTCATTTGTTGCCATATAATAACTATCATTTCTTAGATTTGGTGGCATTTGAATAAGTGTGGATGGTACTCGATTATTTCCTGTTCCTCCTGTCAATCGATCAAGGACTGGATTACTCCATCTCTTTCCATTTTCTTGCGGTGGTGTAATTGGACTGGAACAGTTTTGAATATTTAAAGCATTTTTCTCATTTGGTGATAAATATATGACAGTTGATCCAGACTGCTCACTTCCATTTCCACTACTATCAACAACGTTTTGATCTCCATTCTCAATTGTACTGCCAGGTCGTGATGATGCTCGTCTTGCTATTTTGAGTACAATAACACCAGGATATTTGCCACCAGTTTGAAGCATAGCACGTCTTAATGTATCCATAGCGTCTGCGTTTGACTGTCCTAATAAGGAAATTCCATTAACACTAAGTAATTGATCATTCATTTTTAAACGCCCATCTCGACTTGCAGCACCGCCATGCAAGACACTCTTAATAAATATTCCTAGATCACCATCATGCTTGGAAATTGATGGATGTGCCGATCCAGTCTTTCCTTTTACACTTACTCCTAAACCAGCCTTTTCTGTATCATGTACTGGAATATGGAATGTGAGAATTTCACGATTACGCCAAGGGAAGATATTTGCATTTTGATATTCATTCGATGTCTCTGGTGTAGACGAGTTAAACTTCCTAATTTTCATCTTAACACTATCATTTGGGTCATCTTTAGACTCGACTTTCTTTTCGATAACATCACAAATGTTTGGTGCTGATGGTGATTTAATGACATTTTTGGGAAGAATAGGTGGTGGTGGTTGTTTTGGTAATGTTGTGCTTTTCTGTTGTTCTGTCATTACACCGCCAATTTCACGTTCATCCAATTCTGCAATTTCATTCTGTCGAGACACAACTATTTTGACTGTTGCACCAGGTTGAGTTGCTCTGAGTATATTGACAACTTCTGCTTGAGATTTTCCAGTCATTAGTACATTATCAACTTCAAGTAAACGATCACCAGGTTTTAATCGTCCATCCTCAATGGCAGCACCTTTTGGAAGAATGTTTTTAATATAAATTGGACAATGGCCACCAGCTTGATTATCACGTGTTGTTACACTAAAGCCAAGACCATGTGTACCTTTCTTTAAAGATATTTCAATTCTCTTTCCAAGTTTTCTTGTGTTTGCAGCTTGCAACGTAGTTGTTGCATTTGATCCAGGCTTTCTAGTCGGTGAAACATGAGCTACTTTACTATTTGCAACTGCTGATTTCTCTTCAGCTTCAAACATCTCAATTTTACTCCGATCTTTTGTGTCTGATCTCGCTCTTATTACACGTAATCGCAGCTCTGACGAAGTTATACATTTTCTTAAATGATCTTGCACTGCTATCTCAGACAATTCCAATAAGTTAACTCCGTTAATCTCTAAAATTCTATCGCCACGTCGTAATCTCCCTTTTTCGGCACGACTTTCTGGTTCAACAGATTGAACGAGAAGTCCACCATTTTCTTGATCTGGTATCGCCGTTAATCCCAGCGGACCACCAGCTTCATTTGTAACGAGAAGCATTTCTCTGCAATTTCATTCATTCATTCATTATTACATAAATATTACTCTTACTATTGTGCCTGACTTACCCATTTTTCTGTCGGATTGACTCATATGTTGAAACATTAGCTTGACCGAGCGGCTCCTTTCGTTGCTTTGCATCACGCGGCAAAGATTTTGAATGGTATGAATTATTTTCATTATTACTACTATTATTATTACTGTTGCTGTGATTGTGTGCTGCCTTTTCTGCAGCCTCAATCCAACGATAGCTGTAAACGCAAAAAAATAATTTTTTTGAATAAGCCATTTTCTCACATAAAAGGCATTAATTAAAATGCCAAATTCTTACTTTGCACCATCGCCTAAAAACTGCATTGACAATCGTCCCGAGCGTGTGAATGTTGATGGCATCATTTCATTTGAAATATCTTCTTCTGGCACTGTCCACTTTGGAGATAAATATGTTCCATTTGTCATGGCAAGTACTCGTTCAGGTTCATCACGACAAACTGGAGCTGCTGACCAACGTTTTGAAGGTTCTTGAGAATTATCTGATGCATATAATTTTGCATTCTGATCTAAAGTTAGCAATGACGGTTCACTTCCACGTCTGACTTGCAACGTTAGACCATTCGGTGGTTGATCTGTTTCTGTTACGTCTATATGTGTTGAGATACTCTCATTTTGATGATGATTTGTATATTTTCCATCCTGAATACGAAAAATATCAGGACTGCCAGTTCCTACGCTACTTCCGCTAGCTCCATCACCTCCTCCTTGAGGAACACCTGGATCAGGACCCAGATGATCATCATAACTAGCTAAAATTTGTTCTCTATCATCTGCTACGTCGTGTACATGATCATCTGGATCAAGTATTCCTGATTGTGACTGTAAATGATGTACAACTACCCATGAGTCTGGATTCTGTAAAAAAACATAATAAAAATAATTAGCTATTGTCATTCAGGATGTAAAATCAGTCTCTTGGAAGCATAATTCGAGGTACTTGACAATTACTTAAGAAGAATTGTTGGATATGCAGTCACGTGTGAAAGAAAAGTCAATGAAGCATACGACAATAGTAATTGTTTAACAGTTTAACACTTATTTGCGTATGTTTTTCATCTCAATTACTTTTCAACTGAAAACAGTAATGATGATAAAGAAGAGCTTTTAAGCTGTAACAACAATTTTTTAGATAGCAACTCTCGAGTATTTTCATTAACCGTAATCTGTTTAGATATTAATTAGAGCATGAATGTGAAGACGACTTTGTTGATGATTTTATAAATGAAAAATAAGAGTTTTCACTGCCGTCTGTTGTTGTTGGATGGCTGCTGATACGTGTGATTCACACGAAAAACATAAGATTTGTCATGCTGATAAGCATCGTTAAGGAAAATAGTTTCAGTTTAGGCAAATCATGTTGGAATTTCAAGGTTAAATTGTTTTCCATTTCGAATCGATTAAAGTGTTGCTTTTATGCTATTTAAGTACACGCTACAATAATTGTGTGTGCAATTTTAAGGTCATTTACCGTTTTCGATGAAGATGATGATGATGAAGCCTCTGGAAGCGATGGATTTGATACTGATGTTTCATGAATTTTCTTTGGTGGTAAATTAAGTGAGTACGTCTTATGTAAATTATTGTTATTATTATTATAGTAATGATTTAGACCCTTTTGTCTATGATGCACGCGATATGTATGTCGCCATCCAAAAATACTGGATAATTTAGATGTCAACATTCCCGGACATTTTGGTGGATAATCAAACATTTTCCCATTATCCATAGTTACAATGAATCGCTTAACCTTTCATTCTCAGTTCTAGTTTCTGTCTGCTAAACATTGTATTTACAATAAATCATTTTTTCTGCATGACATACACACAACAACCGGAAACTTCTCTCATTTTTTCACAACTTTATATATTAGCTGTTTGTGCAACAACAAAAAATTCTGTTGTTAATATCCATTAAAGAGAAGTGAAACTAGCAAGTTTTTGATCGAAAATCATTTTTAGCACATAAATTATTCACCGTTTCTGCTTACATTTTTTCATAAGCAGAAAATATTAGTTTTTTCAAGTCAAAGCATAGAAAAAAAATTTATGCGCAATTGAATCAGGCCGCTCTCTACATTAAAATCTAATAACGCTCGCTGTCTTAAGGCGAACTCAATGGAATTTGGAACTAAAGATTCAGTTCTCTTTCTCAGCTATCAAATTACAAACAGTGAAAATAGAAGACATAAAAATATGTGAAGGAATGGAATGTCTTAAAGCGTATCATACTCTCACCTCTTTCTTCACACCCGTCGACGACCCTACTACAAAGTTATGTGCTTACTCATCTCAATTACATATTTTTTGAATGATATTTGAGAAGCAGTGTCGTGGCTGGTAAGGGGTACTGGTAAATAAGTATAAACTTCCTTAATGCTGCACTGTCAGCAAGGAATTGTAAATTTTATTCATGAATTTTATTCGGGGAGAATTTTATGGAACAATGAGCAAATAGAATTTTTATGTTAATGCTCAGGTGATTTTTCTTAGGTTTGACTTCAAGAATTTTACAACTTTTACTTCCTGGATATCAATCAAGTTGTTTGATTGCATATTTTAAAACAATTTGTGTGAGAAAATTGGGATTCTAATTTCTAGAAAATAATAGCTAAAAGTTTAATGGATTAAGAAGATCCAGAGCACATAAAACTGAGATCCAGTAGAAAATTTCATAAAAATTCAAACAAAAAGTATTTTTCAAAAGAATTTACACAACAAAAAGCTAGTCGTGCAACTTGACGTAATTTCCAAACAATGTCCCTTTCAATAAGGCTTAGTCATGTATTTGAGAAATAGAGAAAGGTAAAGAATATAAAAATATATAATAGAAAAAAAATGTAGTAAAAAGCAAGTAAAAGCAAAATAAAATGGGATTCCTTCCATTCATTCATCAAAATTCTTCTTATAGTGTTTCTTCCGATTCAGGTAAATTTTCATTTCATTTCTGTTATCTATCTCTCATGCCATGCCGTACACAAAATAATGTTGTTCAATCAATTGCTACCGTTTTGTTAGCGAAATCCGAGAAATATAAATAAATAAATGTGTATGCATAAAAATAAAGTAGAAACTACGCATCATCAACTTTATATTTTTTAACAACTCAAAGAGTTTATAGAAGTAGGAATTGGAAGCAAAAGCAAAGCAGTTTGCACTCAAATTTCAATGAAATGAAAGTTTTTCATTTCTTCAATGTGCATGGAATATGGAAAAGTGAGTAAGTGGATAGTTTATGTAAAATATAAATAAAAACCAGTACACGATCTCTTAATTGGGTTTCTTAATGAGCTTTTATATCGAGTATGTACAAATATTGGCTTTTTACAATAAATATTCTAATTAATTCCTACATAGCTTGCATTAATAGACGCTGTAGTTTAGTATTTGAGTGAAATAGTTTAAAGAGCCAGCCTTAATTTCTCTCTCGTGCTTTGTATGGATTACATAAATTATACATGACAGCAGCGTTGCAATTGAGCTATTTGCCGGGCTTTAAACAACAGTTGACAATATTTTATAATCAACCACGTTGGAATCAGTTGACTTGCACTATTCAGACGGAATTAGAAGGTGACAATTCAATGTTGCAGACCAACATTTACCCTTTCGTACTTAATTTATAGCGCGGTTCTTGTTTTTTTGTAACACACAATTTCATGGCCATTCTCAATTCTTCGTCTATTTCACTCTCATAACATTGCAATTCCAATGAATGGAACGCATTCTTTCAAGCATTTAAAGATTAAGAGATACACAGAATGGAATTCTTGTATGTCTTCGGAGATTTTATGGACATTAATAATTTAATTGTCAGTTGGTTTGCCGGCATATTCAGTAACAGCAGCTTTAAGGCAAAGCCTAGATTAGATAATTAAAATTTATGATCTTTTAAATTTATTTTTCGACTTGTTCAACTGGTTTCTTTCTCACAGCTACGGCAAAGCAGTGTGTTGAATATTGCAGTTCGCTGCACAAAAATGAAGCGGAACATAATTTTATGTTTACGGTCAGAAGGTTTTAGAACTTTAGCAGGTAGACAGAGAGAGAAGCAAATGTAATAAAATAATGCATGTGATTATCATTTTAAATGGCATATCCTCTCATTTTTTTTTGCTATTTTTACATTGTGCATGTAGACGGATGAGTTTTTGTTTTATGTGGACACACCGGAAATGAATGTACTTATAGAGACGTTAGGTATTCTCCCTAACGTTATATAAAGTAGAAAAAAATCGTTTTTGTTCTTTGTTAATTGTTTACTTCCAAGTTTTCGATTTTAAAATGATTTGTTGTGGATTTAAAGTGACTTGAGAATCTAAGCCTGTCAAAAAAATATCCAGTTACCCGCAGAAAATTAATCTAAATTCATTTGCACCGCAATTGACTACTTTTGGATGTTATTTTTACTCATTCATCATTTTATTCGCTAGCAACAGATCCGTAGCAAGGAAAGGGCGACTGTAACTCTGATTCGTGGCATCCAAAAAGTATACCGCCTGCATTAGTCCCAAAAAAAGAAAGAAATTCGAAAGGAAATTATGCAATCGCAATCCATAATCCATCAACTAAAAGAAATTGATAGGAAAGAAGTGGAAGTGGCAAGAAAGTATGTCGAGTTAAGAAGTCACACGCGATTGCACAACTTACTTTTTTTTTCAAGCATAAATAAGCATTATCCTTCTGACAGTTCAAATGAAAACAAAAGTCACGTTTTTGCGTCATTGACTTTCGAAAACAACAAGCACATCATGCGGTTAAAATTTTACTACTGCCTATATTGTTTACTGATCTTCAAAAAATTGCACATTTTCCCTCGCTGCACAATGCAATGCACACACAATATTTTCACTTTAATGATTATGGGAAATTTCCTCATAATTATTGCATATAATAACTTTTTTCACCGTAAACACAGAATGAATGGTGGCTCATAATAGGTTTTCGCAAAAAATAAAAAAAAAAAGAGTTTAAAGCCACACAGACTGTTTTCACTTGATTAAACTTTGTAGCCAACTTTTACAAGCGCAATTATCATAATTAATCTTTTTCTCTCTCACTGTGTGTCTTCATGGATTTCGTGTGTGCATGCTCATTAATGCAGCGAAGAAGATCTACTACAAATTGAGATAAATCATTAAAAACTAAATGAATTGGAATGAAATAATCGAAGCAATTGCTGCAATCATGCTCATCATCTTCTTTAAAGTGATTTCTCATTTCATGGTTATACATTTTTCTTCATCATTATTTGTATTTTTTTGTAGATCAACAGGTATGAATGTTATTTATTTTTGGAACATTGTTGCCAACTTTTTATATCCACTTCTCTCTCGCATGCTTACTCATTTTATGTATGTTTTGTCCTCTCATTAAATAATTATTGTGTATGCTCATTACATGTATTAATCACACAATATGAGACTTAATTTATCGATGTATGTATGCATGTTTGATTAGTAAAGTGAACGACTTAAGTGCTTGCATTGCAACATATCATATGGATGACTTGTAGGAAGCCATAAACAAAACGTGAACTATAAAAAAAAATGTTGTAGGAAAAAGCCACTTTTGATTGATGACTTGAGTGCATCTTCAACTTGATCGATTGCTGGATGATTAATATAACGTAACAGCCATTGACATAAAAGCACAAGTGACGTAGCAAATCTTTGATGTGGCATAGTAGTCAGTCAATAGAGAGAAAAAAATGAATGTTCAGCCTCAAATTATTCATAATAAAAAATATCGTAGACGAGAAACTTGAATGAAAAAATATGTTCTATATATCTAAAATCGACAGTAACAAATTGCATGTTGCATTCCCATTTTCAAGCATTTTCTCTTTATCATCATCAACGTCAATATTTCATGACTAACAATTTATGTTATTACTTATTTTGAATTACCGTACGCTCAGTCTAGCTAGTGGTTTTTGAGGTGAGATAAACAAGAATTTTGCAATCTCTTCCAAATGAGGTGGAAAAGTATAAAGAAATGATTGTGAAAAAAAGTTTCTTCATTCTTAAATCTTATCATGCTTACCACAACTAAACAATTGCGTTGACTCTACAAATAAAGGCACACGAAAAATTGCTTTGAATAAATTTCTATTTTGTTTTTCGATTACACAATTAGCGTCCATGAACTTCTTTGTGCAAGCTTGAAATATGATTTTCAACCGGAAATATTAATTTTTTTTCGTGCTTTTTTCGCGGTTTGCTTCAAAGTCTTGTTGATCCATGAATTGGTTTTTAAGTGATAGCGTGGAATTGTGTAAATTATTGAAAATTGATGTTCAACATACCTGAAACATATGTTGAAATTAGAGCACATAACGTTTAATATATTGATTGTGGTTTGGAATTTTTGCAAAATTATTCTTATGCAAGTTCTTAAAAATAACGATAAAGAGCTGATGAGCATTACGCTTTAATATTGCTATTTAGACAGGCATTCATGATATTATCTTTTAAGGCACATTAAAATTTGCTGTATTCAATGTTGACTGAGCTATATTCATGCCTCGAGGCAAAAACTGAACTCTACTCAAAAAACCAAAAACCTCAATTTCAAGCCCTTCTAGAACAGCACAAAATGTACAAATCAACTACCAAAAAAATATAAAAATTGCGTTACAGCAGGTAAATTCGTTAATTGTTATTTTAATTAATGAACATTACATAACAAATGACCTTAAAGTTTTTTTTTTCGTACAGTACTGTCTGCTGACTTTAAAATTCAATTCTTCTTCAGATTTTTCCGTAGTCTGAACCTTTGCTGCTACGCAATAAGATTAATTATTGGCAAACTTTATTGCCTTAAAATTCTGAGATATTTGAGAAGAAAATATGAAATTCCAAAAATGAGCAAAATTCGTCAGATTCTTTTATGGAATACATTTAATAACGTCTGTAATTGATTTCTGACTGGATTTGTCATTCAATATTCATTCATCCATATCTTCTTACCGAAAGAATTTACATTTAAATGCTCATTTTAATTTGATGAATTCTTTTGGGTGGTCATTCAAGTCTATTGATATTATTAATTTAAACATTTGTGTACACATATTCGGTTGACGCTGATGAGGCTTGATTGCTCTCCGCAAAATATTTTTGGCCTTATCATTAGCATATCAGCTTACGCGATTTAATGTATGAATTTTTTGTTTAGTTCCGTTCAATTTAATGAGACGAGTAAATAAATAGGAAGTATTTTCAATGATAAGATTCAGCATGTGATATTCTAAATAAATTTATTAGCACATCCAGTAAATATTTACTTTCTAACTTTCCATTAAACCTGATAACTTTCAGTCTGTATAGAAAAATTGATTTTTACGTTCGCAAGCTCATTGCTCAATTGGATTTATTGCGACTATTAGAAAAAATAGTTGGTCATTAATCCTAAATTGCAATACAATGCAGCAATAACTTTTTACTCATTTTTTGAACTTCTTGAACATTTAATAGAAAGAAAATTGCTGAATAAATCGCACAGTAAATTCCTTGGGTTATCAGGAACATGCACTTCATTTGCTAAAGATTAATCGTGGAATCTTATCTCGGATATCGAGGAATTGAAGGTGAATTTTCATAACGATCAAGGTTATTAATGGGACCATAAAATAATAAATTCTTATAATTTATGAGAATAAAAATTCACAGTGGATTTAATTACTTTAACCTTTGAGGAAACTTTGTCAGACTTTTCTGCTGGATACTTTTGGGTATCCAGTCCCAAGAAATTGCCTTTTTGAAATGTCAAAAGACTTCTAACAAATATTTTGTTTATGATCTTTAAAAGTTCAATATTGGAGCTTAAAAGAAATCCGATACAGCATAAAAATACCATTGGAACGATACCTTCACTTCTGTATTGTCAAAACTTGAGAAAATCAAACTAATTCAATTTGTCACACTCATTCATTGCCCATCTCTCTTTTGCTTGTTGAGAGTAAGTCAGTCACACATAAATAATCGAAACTTTACAAAAGAAGAAAAAAGTAGTAAAGAGATTAGAGAAGCAGGTGATTGCGTTGCAAGTTCTTCTCTTGTTTCTTCCCAAAACAACTTCCCATCACTGTCTTTTTCACTGTTGGTAACATTTTTCTTTATCTTTCATTTTTTTTTGTGACTTTAACATTTTTTGAAAAATCATTTTTCGGTTTTCTGTTGTGTGTATGATGAGCAGAAGCAGAAGAAGTCTTCATATTAATAAAAAAAAATCTTCTTGTTATTTCTTGCCACACCGTCTATTTTTTTCAACACTGTTCAACAACTTGCACAATAAATTTTAAAGCACAAAAAAATTTACCCAAAATATTTTATTTTATTTTTTTTTTCACGATAATTTCATTAGAATATCAAATTTTTTACATCTGATATGCCTTCGCGACTTTGTTTTACACACAAAGATTTCTAACAAATAAAAAATATAATCAACAATAGACGAAGGAGATAAATATAAATAAAAATATGGAAAAAATACTGCGAAAGCTCGATAGTAGAATGTAACTGTTCGCGACCTCAAATACAACTGAAGTGGTTTCAAACTGAATGAATTTTTTTTTCTCTTCCACACCGTACGAAATACGTAAGTACAACAAAAATAAAGTATGTTTGGGCAAGGTATGTTAATGATCGAGGGTGTAATGCGCATTAGTTCTCTATTAAGGGATTAGCAAGTTAGCTCTGAAGATTGTTCAAGAATGCACTTTCATAGCTACCGAGCTTAGTCACAATACTTTCAAAACAAGTCGTGCACTTTAAATCCTTAAATGATAATAAAACTATCAAAAATCAATGGCAATGAAATGCTCTATTAAAAAAACTATCACAAGCACATGTAACAGCCGGTCATAATGCAATTTAAAAGAGAATATCCAAAGAGAAAATGAGGTAAAAAAATTTTGCCTAGTTTTGTTGTTGTGGCATTCTCTACTTTACTTGGTGTGCATGTATGTATGAAAAATATTTTTATATTTTATTTTATTTCTCTATTCCATTGTAAAACTTATATTTTAGTGATGATTCTCTCTCACTATTGTACGACTTAACACTCGAATTCTTTGTCGTGTTTGTCCCTTGCTGTTTGACGAGAGATGCTGGTTGTTGAATATGATTGAACAAAATTCTTTTAAGAAAATCTCACATATGATTCTGTATTATTATATAAATTCCTTTTTAAACTGCATTCCAAATTTTAAGAATCTTCTCAAATCTTTATTTTATTGTCTTTTCAAGTTCAAACTTGTTTGATAATTTTTTGAGGCATTCGTAGAGAATGAAATTGGTTATTGCTATAAATTACGACGATGATGATAAAAAATTTAAGCGTAACCTTTAATTAATGAACATTTGTGCCTTATCACATCATGAAAAAACAATGGAATTTTATCTGGATGACGACAAATTCATTGTAGTATTAAATCAACAAGTTTAAACATTGCCAACAAACTTAAACGTCTATTTTTAACAATAATTAGAAATACCTATTTAAAGAAATTTAAAATTTTGGATTTTCATCAAAAATAATAATTTTTAAGGTTATTGCCAATGCTAGCAAACAGAAATTTTTGAGTTCTTATTATTCGAACTTCGAATTTTCGAGGTTCTTATTTTTCGAAAATCGAATCTTCGAAGTTCTTATTTTTAAAAAAATTCGTTGTGAATTATTATTTTTCGAGTAATTTGTAATTTTAGTAAACATTCCTACTAGTTATTATGATTAAGATAATCACTGTGATGAAATTGCATTCCTTAAATGTTTATGCTTTAAAAAACAGCTAGTTTTAAAAAAATAAAAAGTAACGGACTTTCTTATTTTGAAATTTTAAAAAAATACCGCGCGAAAATTTTTGAATTTTTTTGTTTGTAACGGACTCTGTTCTCTTTGCTAACATTGGGGTTATTGATCTCACTTCAAAAAGTATTTCTTTAAATTAATCAATTTAAATGCTCAACTAACAACATTATTTCCGCTAAGTGTACTCAAAAAAGTGGCAAAAATAATATTCAGCATATTTCAAGTAGATTAGACACTTTTATCGCAAAATATTGATCATTACAATTATCTAGAGGCACTAATATTAACAAAATTTATCGACTTCTATCTTAGTCAACAAAATAAGTATCTAATGCATTCGTCAAACAAACAGGACAGAATAAATACGCAAACTCACTCTGATCGCGAACTAAAGCTCAAGTATTATTGACTTTTATGGACATTCCACGCGAAAAAACATAATATACTTTGCTGAAAAGATTCATAAAAACTTTTGGTGCCAGTCAGTGCAAATCACAGTCTTCTTATTGAATCTCCAGGTAAACAAGTTCAAGTTTGAGTAAATAAGTTCAAGCATGAGAGAACATATCATAGCATTGAATGGAATTTCATGTCATTTTGTTATTAAATACCTTGAAGAAATTTTTCAAATAATAAAAGAATCTTTAGAGATTAAATTTCCTCAAGTGCAGGCTTAATAAATAAATTATCTTTGAGAGAAATTGAATGTCTGCAATTTCACACGCGGACTAATTCACGTAGACCTCAAGAAATGAAAAATAATATAGGAATGTGAGTTGCAGATAAGAAATGCCTCAAACAAAAGTCGAGAATTGAAAATTTTTTATTTCTTTTTTCCATAAAATTCAATATAAAGTTTGTCTCAATGTAAAAAAGTGCCAGCAGCAGCCAGCAATTACTCATTGTTTTCAATTGTTTCACCAAAAACACTTTCGTGCTGAACAAAAGAAGCGAAACTGATTATTGTCACTTGAAGTGTAAGCCTTTATTAAGCAGCATAAAGGTCACAAGACAATTCAGTTCCATTATGTGAAAAAGTTTGTGCTCACAATCTAAATTTGAGCTAACAATTGCTAATACTTCTTGGTGTAAAAGACCTCGCAAGTGATGTGAATAAGTCTCCTTTTTTGTCTTCGTTAATCATTTTCATTTAATTGCTTTATTATCATGATAGAAATTGCTTTGGATGAAGTAAGACATTGGAACTTCCGAAGAGAGTTTTTCAGCGCATTTTCGGATATTTTTCAACATATTGTAAGCACCAACAATCAGTAAAATATAAGAAACCATTCCAAAACACGCTACAATCAGTACAGCTTGCCTTTAAAAATCAAATCCACGGCTCTTTTTGGCTGCTCATGGATGACTGAATTTATAAAACAATGCGAAATAATCTTCTTCGTATTTTTGAGGTAAGAATTTGCTACTTTTATGGTTTCATTAGCAAGTGTAAAGGAACTCAAAAATGACGCAATTTAAAAGTTAATTAAAACAATTCTTAGATTTTTACAAGTTCTTGAGCCTAAAACATTTTTTTATCTCTTCATGATTAAAACACCCGAAAAGAGTAAGAAGAGAAATCAACAGAGCATTTTTGCTATCGTGTGACGTCAAAATAAATTTACTCAGCTGGTTTCTTGATTGTGAATGCACTTGTTTTTAAGGAAAGCTTTGATTCATCTATCTCTGTCTAGCACAAGCTCTACTTTTTTTTTGTAGATATCGTAACGGATAAAAAGAATTTGAAATGATCTACACATATGCAAGTTAACTTATTGCATTGGTGTTGGTTAATTGTAGCTTGTATTGAAGACTTGTACATGAAACTTGTATGTTGGACTTGTAAGTCTAATCATCAATATTGTTGCCTATTTTACCACAATTTAGCAATTATTCAGATATTATCAACACAATTTTGCAACAAAATAGTTTAACAAAAACTTTCAGATATGCTGATAACTCTTATTCTATATAATTCCTGACCAATTTCGCAATATTTGCCAGACTTATCTAACCAAATACCTAATTCAATCTAACACATTCACGACATACAAGATACAACAAAAATATTCATGACGATAATAAAAAAAAAACAGAATTGAAAGAAAACCAGCTTTTCAAAAGAAGTCTGTGAATCATACTCGGGTATTTCGCGAAATGAGCGCCGTCTTTTGTTTACGCTATGTCTCTTTCATTGCTTTTATTTGATATTTTTAGCTCGTCTTTTTTCAATATTCGTATTCCACCGACATTCTTTGCTTTTCTCTACCCAAAAAAGTTTTGTCTTTTGTCTTATTGAGTTGACATTTTCGAGTATAATGCAATAATTTTTTTCAAATAAATGAAGAAAATATTTTGCATGCTTCGTTGAAGTCACAAAAAAAGACTAAACAAAATGATAGCGAATCATGAGGAGGAGAAGAGATAATCAAACTTAATTGCTTCGTCACATTTTCGTAATGCTACGATGGACAGGATTTCGTAATGACTTTAATTTCGGACTTAATCTAATTAGGTTTTGGAATTTGAAAATAATCTGATAAGAATTAAAGCAGGTAAGCAATTTGACAGTCAAATAACATTACTAGCATGACTAGCTACTGAGGAATTACATTTGAATTCAAACCACTTAATCCAGTCAGAAAATAAGCATGCATAATGAAAGCAAAGCAACAAAGCAACATCAAGTGGGATCAAATGAAGTAGGAAATGTATGATAACGAGTTGCGATCCAACATTACCATAATTCCAAGCAATTCATGTGTAATGTAATCCATTGCAATCAGATAACCATAAAATTATGACTGAATATCCAGTCACTATGTAAATAAGTGTGGAATTTCTTGGAAATATTATCACTCATATAAGCAATAAACATTCTTGATCTCACTTACTATATAATTATCATCACCATCATCATCGACAAACAATCATTATGGATCATTGAAAATTGACGCATGGAATGGAGAAGTAAAAAAATAATAAAAATGAAGGTGCGGAATTCACATAAATCTTCTTCGTAATCTTCCAGGAATCAATCTTGAATTTCAAACAACAACACGAAATCCATTGAAATTACTTCTGTTTATGTCTGTACATATATGATTTGAATGCTTAAGAATGCTCAATTCAAATTTCCATCTAATGTCATTCACATTCATGATAATTTTTCTTTATTTAATATTCATTTGAAAGCAGCACAAGCGAGCGTGGGTGGAATTTCGTTATTTTTGCGCTTTGGAAATGAATTTTTGATGATAATCCTTTAACGTCTGTTCTTTGATTTTCTTCACTCATTCACGAGACATTTTTAAGGTAAAAAGAAGACTTCAGATTTTTTTTTAAAAAAAAATGAGGAGGAGGTCACTATAGAGGTCATCATCGAATATAATAAAATATAAAAAGTATTAAGAATTTAAAGATTTCTTTGGAATGTGGACAGTCTGGAAACTCAATATTCATGATACATACTGCAAGAATGAGCAAAAAGGTTAAATTAACAAAATATAAATGTACAAATGCAGAATTGAGATTCATGCCGTGACTCTCGTCGATTATTATTATAATTCAGAATTTATGTATCTGCACAGGCACTGACAAAAGATGCAAAAACTCGCTGCATTACATCCGACAATGTAAAAAAATTATTTTTTGGTTTTCGTAAATTACAAAAGATTTGAGCATATGAATGTGACTGGAAGTGTGCGGCTTATGGCGCATAACTTTGCTTTTCTGGATGTTTTAAGTCTCGAATGGGATGCAAATCAGTCAGACATTAATTCTCTTAGATTTATTAATTTTGATGCTCAAATTAATTTCATGTGAATCTGAAAATCATCAAAATTAAAGACTTCATGATGAGCAGCAATAACTACAATAGAAAGATTCCGTGTACTGCAACTCACGTGCTTTGATATTAGCACATAAAGAATTTCCTTCTTTCATGAACTTTTAACTTTTTTTTGTTTCTTCTTCTTGCTGCTGTTAATGTACATATTTTTTATATACCGCAGAAACTTATTCATACTATACGTTCAGGTCATGAAAGCGAAAATTGCATATTGTGGATTCCAATATACATAATGAGAAAAATTACCTTAAAATCATTAATGGTGAATGGGTTTAAAGGCGCATTTCATCTCCTCTTTAACTATAATAGTGCTGTCTTTTTTGGAAATTACAAAATGTCACACAGATGCTCTTGCGAACCCTTTAAAAAATTTCCACATAATTAAA